CCACGAGTTTGATCCCCAGCCACAGAGGTGACCCACATGGCATGGCAGACCTCTCGTCTCTCCCACTGCTCCCCTCAGCAGTGTATTTCAGTCAATCCACCTGTTCTGTGCCCTACTCTGTCTCTGGTGATTCTTCTCACCTTCCACGCCTCTGGCCTGTACTTCAGTTCTTATATGTGCAAATAAATAAATCTTTCAAAAAATAAATAAAGTTCACAACAGGGCCTCCCCGGTAGCATAAGAAATTAAGCCCCAGCACTATGAAGCTATCACCAGCCACTGCAGCACAAAGTTCAATTCCCAACCAGACATGTAGCCAACCCACATGGTGCAGCAGACCTCTCCTGTCTCACCTGTTGCTCCCCTCAGCAGTGCACTTCAGTCAAGTGCCCGTTCTGCTCCCCACTCTGTCTCTTGTATATCCTTTTGTATATCTTGCCCCCAACTCCCCCACCTCTGGCCTGCACCCCAGCTCTTGAATGTATAAATAAATATCTTAGAAAAAAAATAAAGTTCACAATAATCATGCCAAGTCAGTATTATCATAACCATTTCACAATGAGAAACTGAGGCTCAGAACAGTAAAGCAACATGTTCAAGGTCATATAACCAAACTCCAGAGCTTGTGTAAGGACGGAACACACCTTTCCTCTACTTCAGTTTAAAACATATTGGGTGACTGGACAGTGGCCAGTACTCACTGGCCTTCTGGAGGTTCTGTTTCAGACCCCAATGTTAGAAGGACAAAAACATCAAGCAGGCCCCAGCAGCTTATCTCTTTCCCACAGCTTAGGGTTTCTTAGCAGGCGGACACACAGGCACCTTCCCAGGGCAGCAGCTGGTACACTGGCCTCCTCCTTCACCAAGTTGAATCTTGTCTGAGGCCCTAGAACACCCACAGGGTCACCAAATTGGATTTTCCTTTGAAGTCAGAGAAAGAGAAGGAGGAGAAAAAGTGGAAGTCTGTGGTCTAGAGTCAGACACAGGCCTCACATGTGTAAATGTCTCCTTCCAGATGGACCACCCAGGGACCACTCTACTTCCCGTTCCATGCTCTCTGGGGAACTGTTACAGTTCAAGGAAAAAAGGATGCTCTCAGCTCACAAACTTGCAGGAGGCAGCAGGAAAGCAGAAAGGTAGGTTCTGACCTGTCAGGAGTCTCCTGGCCCAACCCTAACAAAAACTGATACATTTAAAATCCATAGCGATGCCAACTAAGGCAGTTCTATGACTTCCAGTCCTAGGGCTGCCATAGTTGACTGGAGGACCCAGGGGACAAGGGAACAAATCAGCAGAGGTTTCAGATGTTTGTCCCTGGGTTCAGCTCAGATCCCTCACTCCCCTAACAGGAAGACAATACCCAGGGGAACCCAGAGGACATAGTTCCTCATCTCCTCTAGCCTGTAGTACTGAACAGGCTAAAGTTGAATGGGAAGCTCCAATCTCAGAAAGCTAGCTGAGGCAATCACACATGAGAAAAGCAGAGGTAGGTCGGGGACTAACCTCTCTCAATCCATCTCCCTTGGGTCAAGAGACCTGTATCCAACTGGTAGCCTTCTTTCTCTTTCTGACCAACTCCTTTTTGCTACAGAAGGGACCCAAAACAGATCTGTTCAGGAACACTAACATTTCTCCTCCCTCCCACCCTTCCCTGCTGAGAACACTTCTTTCTTTTCCTCTGGTCCTTTCTAGCTTTCAACAACCAGCTCAATTGCCAGTCAAGCCAAAAGAACAAATACTGCCAACACCATTGTGTCCATACCACCCACAGGGGCCTTCTCTGGCTGGCTACTTTCTTGCCTTTCCCCACTTACAGAGTGCTGATCAAGAGCAGACCAGGTCTTCCTCAGGCCCACCAAAATTCTCTGCAGAACAGGTTCAAAATACAGACAAGGTGAAGTAGAAAAGGCTAAGACTGAGAATTAGGAATGCTAAATCCAATTCCTGGCTTTGGTCCTAACAGTCTGAAGATATGTGGCTAAATCACTTCTTTCTGGCCTCTGTTTGCCTGTCTATATGATTGATGGTCATCTCTAGGTCACTTTCAGTTTTCTGACTTGAAATGTCTATCAATGAAAGTCACTCAGTAAATAAATATTAACTGAACATGTACTGCTCTACAGACATGAGGAAAAAAATTTTGATTAAGCCTGGACCCAGCCCTGAAGCTAACCACTTTAATGAGCTGGTAATGAGGACACACTCTTACCCATGTTGGGCTATCCCTGTTAGCTTCTTACACAGCTGAGGGAGTCAAAAGTGCTGAGCCAGGGAAGGAGAGGGCAGGTCAGGAACTTTCTGTTCTACCTGTCTGGTACCTGTTTCCTGCTGGGGCCATAAGCCATACCGATGGGTGGTAAATGCAATGATCTATCTGGGAGTCAGAAACCCTGGGCTTAAGTGCTGGTTCTGCCAATAAGCTGTGTGATCGCAGCAAGTTATTCTTCTCTCTGAGTTTCAGTTTCTTCATCTTCATTAAAAAAAAAAAAAGGCTAAACTGGTCAATCTCTTAACTTCAGCTCAGCCCTCTCATGCTAGGTACCTCGTAACCACCTGAGAAGGGTACCTCTGATTTGATTTCTTCTCTATCCTTTCCACCCCCCAACTGCCAAAACTAGCCCTCTTGAGACAACCTTTGGCCAGGATGGCTGAAAACAGACCTTTAATCTGAAGCCAGAGTCCTCATCACCTCCACTGCAGCCATCAGTGCTAATGTTTCACTTCTCTGGGATAGCACATGGACTCCTAGCCCTCAACCACGAGACTGGGTTCAGGGCGGTCACCCTGAAACTTCCCATAACTTCCCCTCTTATGGCTTTGGGCGGGAACTTACTTTTGGCTTTTTTAGAACCACAGTATAAACCAAACAGAGAAGATCCAAGCTTTCAGACACCAGAAACTGTAGGCTGAACAAAAGGGTCAAGCAAGTGAAGGCAGGGAGTGTGGCGGGGACCTGGGAACCCACCTCAGCCCCAATATTACAAACACAGATGCAGGGTGTCTGCAGAGCCTGGGTTTGTGGTTGGAGGGTGGGGAAGACAGATGTCTGGCTGCGTGGTTAGGGACTACAGCCAAAGGGAGGTACTCCCACTGGGGCCTCTCTCTGTCCACAAATACCAGAGGTACGCCCTCATTTTTCTCAACTCTCAGACCCTTAGAAGGAAAAGAAAAGTAACATTTTCTTGGCCCTACTTGTGCCAGGCACTGAGCTAGGCACTTTCTGATTTCATTTAATCCCCACTGTAATCTTACTGTTGTCCTGTACAGTAAGCAAACAGACTCAGAAATGCCGGATCTTGCCCAAGGTCACACTGCCACCAAGTATGCTTTCTTCCTAAGTCTGGACTTCTCTGCTACATCACACTACTCTATACCCTGAGAGCTGGTTAACTGCCTGACAGACATATAGTAGGATCAGATGCCCAAGAATTCACCAACATATCTGAACTCTTTCTCCCAAAACGCCACAAATGGAACTGGAAATTCTTTTCCCACTTCTCAAGACCCCACCCCTCCCAGGGCCCGGATTCCTGGTGATTGCTCCTTAAATAAAAAATACACTCTAAGTCCCCTTTGAATTTTCACGAACTAACCCCTGGGTTACTGTGACAGTATCAAATCAAAGTAAGAGAGCAGAAAGAGGGGTGCTCTTTGAGACCTGGACTAGACTAGACAGCCTAGTGGGAAAAGATCCAGTGCCTAGGAAAGAACTTTCCTGAGGGTCGAGCCTATATTTCTTAAATAAAGTAACAAGAAGTTGCTTGTGTGGAGTGGGATTCTTACAGTCAAAGCACTTCCATAAAGTATGAGAGAGGCTGGGGGCCACTTGGCAATCACAACTGGTCACAAGGGAAGGTAGGGGACCTGCTGGGGGTGGGGCTGTGTCCTCAGGGACTAGGTGGGGCTGTCTCCGTTGAGATAGGGAGGCCCAGCATCAGAGGTTTGTCAGTTCTGTGGAGCACTGGTCTCACATCACAGGACAGTTGGGATGGGAGTGGGTCTGGGGTTCATCTTTCTAAGGGTCCTGCCAACCCATAAGTATGACCTCTGCAAGGACTGTGGGGCAAGTGAATTGCCCGGTTTGTTCAGCTTGGAGGAAGTGCTATTTCACTGTCACGTTTCTCTGCCTGCCAGCTGAGTGCCCGGGTTCTCTGGGGGTAGGGAACCTGGGTGCACTCTGAGCCAGGACCACACCCCTCCACCCCACCCTTTTGTGTTTTGGAAGGAGTTTACACAGAGATCCTCAGCTTACACCAAGACAGCTGACAAGTCTGTTCTGAAGGTGAGGTGCAGTCACCCTTTGGGTACTAGACTCTAGAGTGTCTGCCCACCTGTTGCCAGCGACAGGGAGAAATTTGCTTCCAAATAGGGAGGGGTGCACTCTGACTCTTCCAGGAGCGTGACTAAGCCCCAGAGAGGGACTCCCTGCAAGGAAACTGATCAGTGTCACCCCATCCAGAGGTCCGAGTCTCCGAGGGTCAGAATATTATGGAGAGGAGCGGAGGGTGGTCAAACCTTTTGAAATCTGCTCAAGATGTCCCGTGGGGCCAGCCCTGGGGTAGTGAGGCAAGGGAATGTGTGGAGAATGTGCTGGGGGAGGGGCCGTCATCTGTGAGCCTATGGGGGGGTCAATCAACCCTCAATTTGGGGTGCCAATGGTGAGGTCGGTGCAGGCGTCTGTCGTTCTGTCCAGCAGTTGGGAGGACACTCCTCCCTGGGGGGCGGGTCATTCTATCTGGAGAACGGGGGCAGGGAGAAGGGGTTGGCCAGTCCGCTCCGAGGTCGGAAGTGGACTGGCGGGGGAAGGACGGGTCTGTCTGCCCGAGGGGAAGGGGGGGACGGCACAGGGATGAGAGGGGGCAGTCGCCCCAGGTTGGGAGGGCGGCCTGCCCGAAGGCGGCTCGGTCCGCGTCAAGCCTCCCCACCCCCCGCGGGTCTCGCCGTCGGCCGCAGCCCCCGCCCCTAGTCCGGCCCCGGCCGCGAGCCCCGGCGCTACTCACGAGCCCTCCGCGCCCTGCGAGCCCACGATAAAGCCGAACTTGTCGATGCGGCGTTCGGCAAAGCCGTTGGCCTCCGAGTCGGAGCCCAGAGAGCTGAGCTCGTCCGTCGCTGCGGCGTCGGGACCTGGGGCCAGGTTCTCCCGAGTCCCCGAAAGGCTCCCGCCGGCCGCGGGCACGCGTGGCCCGTTCTCTTCGCGGCTCTTCGCCATCTCGGCCGCGCCCGCCGCTTCAGTTTCAGCGGCCACCTCAGCCTCCCCTGCCGCCCGGCCGCCGCCGACGCCCCGCCCACGCGCCGCGCCCATTGGCCGCCTCGGAGCAGGAGGCGGGGCCCTAGGCCCACCGAGGAGCTCCCCACACACCCAATGGGCGCCGGGGGCCCCGGGGTCCGCCCACCTCCCCCAGGATGGCGCCAACCGGCTGGACGTGGGGGGGCGGGGCAGCCGTCACACGGAGCCCGCCCCTGGGCTGCCAATCACGAGCTCACCTGGCGTTCCGAGGCCTTTCCGGGTTGGGGCAAGACGCATTTGTCACGCAAGGTACGTACGGCGCTGACAGAAGTCAAAGACGCGGCCGGAATTCCGCATCTGCCTCAGAGCCCCCCTTTCAGAGATAACCTAGGGGCTGGGGTAGGTATTGTCCACCCATTAACTTATGAAGAACTCTGAGGAGACCCAATAGGTTCACACGGGGACTCTCAGTTAAAGGCTCAAACTGTGTGAGAAGTTCAGCGGCCCTTCCCCTGCTCACTGCTTCTGGGCTTTAAATCTTAGACCTAATTTAACAGGAATAAAGACCCGGAGTCACCCACTGTCCCAAATTCTACCTACTTTCTCGTGTAATCTTTTTTTTTTTTTTCAATAGCTTTATTGATGTAGTTAACATGCCATAAAAAACACATTATGAAAGGGTACAACTCATTGACTTTTTGCATATAGAGTTATGCAACTATCACCATACTTTTAGAATTTCATCACCCCGAAAGTAAACTCCTTCCCATTAACCCCCACTCCCCAACCGCCCTTTCCCAGCCTCTAGTCAACTTTGTCTCGAGATATTTGACTTTCCTGGACATTTCATATCATTGGAATCATTCAATGTGTAACCTTTTGCCTTTGGCTTTTCAGTGAACATGCTATCAAGGTTTACCCATATGGTAGCATGTATCAGTAGCAATGTTATCATCCCTTTTTATGACAATATCCCATTACATGGATGTTTATAATCTTCAGTGATGGTCACTTGAGTTGCTTCTATTCTTGGGCTAATAATGAACAAATATTTGAATACAACTTTTTGTGTTGACATGTATCTTTGCTTCTCTTGGGTACCTAGAGACCTAGCAGTGGGAATTGCTAGATCATATGCTGTTTAAACTTTTGAGGAACTGGCAAAGTTTCCCTAGTTGGTAACACCACTTTATAGTCTTTAGGCTAGGAGATACTACTAGCCCTAGTCTAGAGTGAAGGAAACTGAGGTGTAGGAAGGTAAAGTCAGCTACCTAAGATCCCACAGCTAAGAGTTTGAACCTAGCTCTTAACAACAGCTTATATTGGGGGGTATGGGCCGACCATATTTATCTAGACTAAGCTCCTTATAACCCCAGGAATCACCCACTCTTGAAGCCACAACAGCACATTTAGGTCCAAAATTTTATGGTTACATATATCTTGCTATATAACACTCCCCTACAGACCTGTGCAGAAGACAGGTACAGAGTAGGGCATAAACTGGGAAAGCCAGGCCTGAGACAAGCCCCAATAGGTGAGTGATGTCACCCGTCATTTCCTTGGCACCGTGTGGCCCACATTCTTGAAAACATCTCTGCTGTCTCCATATTCCATTGGTTTCTAGTTTTCCATGGCAGAATGGGAGTGAACACAGGCTAATTTGATCTTAAACCCTCAGCCTGAAAAGATGCTGCTCCTCCCCAGTGGTTTCAGAGTGGTGGACTCTGTGCTAGCTCCCAGGAGAGGCACAATGAGCCACTTGTGGAGGTGAGGGCCTACCATAGAGAAGAGAAAGGAGTCAGCACAACTGAAGCAGGCATGAGAGTCCAAGTCTGGTAAAATTTTCATAATCCTTTTGAATCCCTAATTCTAGTCCTATCATATTCCCAGACCCATTCTCAGGTCTGTAAGGACAGGTGTATAATAATGTGCACCCCAGGGATATCTGAAGTAGGGGGATAAAGGCACCCAAGCATCCATCCTTGAGTAAATAACTGTTTCTCAATTAAGGCGTGACACCCCAGTTTCTTATTTACATGAGACCACCAGGATTCAGATACCTGTTGATTTCCACTGATTTTGACCAAATCACTTCTCTCAGTCCATTTCTCCATCTGCAAAAATGAAAATACTGACAGGTCTCGGAAGTTGTTGACTTTAGTGTGATAATATGCACTAAGCATGTGGCACAGAGATACCCAATGAATGGTAGCTAGGAATGGTGACATTTACAGTTTACAAAGCACCTATAAACTCATTAGTCTTGAGTATTTCCCATCACAGCCTATAGCTGTACCCCAGGGTTGGTGTGGAGAGGTATTACCTAATTTAAACAATGGAACATAGCTTGGGAGACTGCTTCTTAAGTTGGATGTTTTTGTGCAAACTTGCTTAACCTTTCAGAACATCATTACCCACTTCAAAAAAAGTAATTACTTTAATAAGAGTCAGTAAGCTCTATTGTCAATTATTGTCTACAGTAGACAGCAAAGTTGCTTCCTGGAGTAGCTCAAGTTCCAGAACTCTTTAACTTACTTGATATACCTCTAAGGGGCCAGACATCATTCTAGTGAACAAGAGATGAAGCTCATGAGGAGCCCTGGTAGTGCAAGGGGTTAAACACAGCACTATGAAGCTATCTGCAGCCACTGCATCAAGAGTTTAATCCCCAGCCAAGGAGCTGACCCACTTGGTGTAGCAGATCTCTCCTGTCAACTGCTCCCCTCAGCAGTGGATTTCAACCTGCCTGTTCTACTCCCCACTCTGTCTCTAGTGAATCCTCTTACCTCTGCACCTCTGACCTACACACCAGTTCTTGTATACATAATCTTTAAAAATCACATCCTACAGAGGGCCCTCCTTGGTGGCATAACGGGTTAGAGTGCAGCACTGCGAGTGACACAGTTACTTCAGTGAGAGTTCTATCCCCAGGCCGGGCGGTGACCCACATGGCGCAGCTGACCTCTCCTGACCGGCCCACTGCTCCCCTCATAAGTGTACTTTGTCCATCTGCCTGTTCTGCTCCCCGCTCTGTCTGGTGAATCCTTTGACTGCCCATGCACCTCTCACCTGTGACCAAGTTCTGCATAAATAAATCTTCAAAAAAAACAAACAAACCCATATTCTTTAAGAAAAATGTCTTGAGGAGGAATAAAGTTAAACACACACACACACACACACCACACACACATATGTGGTTAGACTAGAAACATAAGACAAGGGAGGAATGAATGACACAAAGGAATGCCGTGCAAAATCGTGGTTCACTGGAGTACAAAATAGGCCTTTGGCAATGCTGTGAAACATCCTGGGAGACCAGATGCTGCAGATTTCTTTAGAAGATGAGATGCCTGGCCAGAGCTAAAGGAATGCAAGGATTGTGAAGTTCTGCACACATTCTTTTCACATCTGTGTGACTAGACCCTCTCTATGCCTCTGTTATTCAAGCATAAAAGAGCAACACTCACCTACTATGCAAATTAAAATAAAAAATGCATTAACCTGGAGTCTGATCTGACTGGGGTCGTTCCCAAGAGTTTGGTCAAGGTGTTTATGCACGGTCTAGTATTACTTCTTTTCCCGAATCCTGGAAGACGCAGCTTGCATGTGCTAAAGAAAGCTGTTAGCGCTGTTCATGGGCAGATGTCCGATGTGATAATCTTTATTTGTAATGAAAGCAGAGCTGAGGTTCAGGAGGTAGACAGCTGGTGCCCAGCAGCCTAGGAAGAGTGGCAAACTATAAAGTTTCTTTACCCCAACACTGAGGGTAAGTTAAGAATCTTTTGGTCCAACAGAAAATAAAATTCAAATGGGTTCAACCCATTTTGTGGGTTCCATAGCTTAAAAAAATTCATAGGCTAAAATTTCAGGAACAATTTGACCCAGAGCTCTCAGTCTAAGCTATCATTGGAGCTGTAGGTCTTTTTCTTTTTCTGTTCTCCTTCCTGTGGTTGCTTCATCCTCAAGCTAGTCTCTCATGGCAACAGCTGCAGTCTCACATCTTCCCTTCACACATCCACACAACAGATGACTCTTCTGGTAGCTTCTGCTCAATGGTGAGACAGCTGATTCCCTATGTATCATCTCTAGACCAGGACGTAGGTATACACTAATCACCACAACCTCAACAGGGAATAATGATTGGCTTGGTTGTACTTGGTCAACAGTAATATTTCTGTAATTATAAGTAATAAGTGTGTATTTTGTCCTGCTTCATGGATTCTACAACTCCTAGAATTTGCTTATGTTAATAAAAAATGACAGTTAAAAACAAATCCCCAAATCAGGTAGTTAATATTTAACTTTGAGATATTATATTGACTTACTTTAAAAAATTTTAAAAAGTACACTTCTAAAAATCTTATATACTGTCTGTAGACATGAGCTATATTGTATTTTGCCTTTTTAATTTCTGAATTACAAAGATAAATTAAGGGTTACATAAAGGATTGCTATATAACAATTACCACTTTAAAATATACTCTAACAGAATCTAATAAAAACTTTTCTGTATGTTCTCTAATATATCATTTTAAGAAGCAAAACAGGTCTACATTTTATTGGTCTCCTCACCAATTCTGTGACGTTGGGTATCCCACCTCATCTATAAACAGTGGTGACTGAAGTAAGGGTCAAAAAGCTGTGCAAGCAGCTCTGTAAACACCAAGGCACTGCCTGTATGCTTCGGGCCCTAAGCAAGAAGAGCAAAGTGCCGGGTCATAAGCGAGGTCTGCAGCCACTGATGGTGACAAGGCTGCCTCGCCAATGGGCATTCTGCAACACCGCAGTCAAGACAGATGCTCATTCAGGAGCTCCGGGAAACTGGGCCCGGGCCCGAGAGCACGGCTCAAAGGACCCATTCACTCACATTCCGCCCAGTGGCATTCCTGGCCTGAAGTCACAGAGGCTCTACAGGATATGCCAGCCTGTGGAGGGGAGTACCCTGACACCACAACCTGCCCCTACCCCCAGAGCCAGTCCCAGCAAGAAAGGGAAGCTCAGAGTGTGGGACTCCCTCACATCTCCTGGCCCTTTTGGCATGATGCCCAGGTAGTGTTCAGAGGGATTTTCAGTCCGCCCACGGAGAAGCAACCGGCAGTTTGCTCACTTTCTGTACCTGCACCATGGAGACACCTCAGGAAGCCAAATTCCTGCTGTGGCACAAATGTCACATGGGGTGAAGAATAGCATCCCACAGACCAAGCTTAAGATGTGAGAGATCCAGCAGTTTATAATGGAGACAACAGCTGGCATCACAGGGGTCTGTGTGTACTACCTCGGTCTGGAGTTAGCAGCTTTGAGCTTGGCTGAGGGAAAAAAGGGTTAGGACGACTAGAGTACTGGTTTTGTCATCTTGAGAACGACCTCATTCCTCTGAGCCTAGAAATGACCTCATGAAGTAAGTAGAAGAGCAAAGTGAAGGACTACAAAGAAAGGGCACAGGAAATTTTTAGGGGATAAATACATCTGAGATCTTCAAAATGAAATCAGCTTTAGGTTTGTAAGAGCTACCATCAGGCTCTCACCTTCCCCCTCCAAACACCCACAGCAGCACTTGTCTTCTTGTGAAGACAACTCTAAAAATAAGCACGGAGGCCTGGCCCTTCCTAGGGGTACAAAGATGGTGACAAATGTTTTGCACACACTTTTTATTCATCACCTTACTGCATGACTATAGGCAAGCAACTCACCCCCTCTGTGCCTCTATGTGTAAAACAGGAATTTCACATGAAGGCTACATGAGTTAAGACTGATAAAGCGCCTAACACAAGGAGCAAATTAAATTTTATAGCCCTTTGAACAGCTAAGTCATTGGTACAATTAAGTATTTTTTTTTTTTTAAGATTTATTTATTTGTTCATACAGAACTGGAGTACAGGCCAGAGGCTCAGGGGTGGCGAGAGGCTTCACCAGAGACAGAGTGGGGAACAGAACAGGCAGATCGACGAAGTACACTGCTGAGGGGAGCAGCGGGCGGGTCAGGAGAGGTCTGCCACGCCATGTGGTCACCTCCGGGGCAGGCGGGAATCGAACTTATGCAGAAGTGGCGTTGGCTTCTCAGTGCTGTGCTTTAACCCGCTGCGCCACCAGGGAGGGCCGCACAATTAAGTATTTTTAAAGTAAGAATACTGGGCTCTCCCTAATGGTGCATCGGGTTAAAGGGCAGCACCATGAAATATTGGCAGCCACCAAAACCCGAGTTGATCCCCGGCCAGGGATCATGGTGCAGCAGACCCCTCCTGTCTTACCCACTATTCCCCTCAGCAATTTTAGTCGAACTACCTGTTCTGCTCCCTACACTGTCTCTGGTGAATCCTCTCACCCACCCCACCCCCAACACCTCTGGCCTATACCCCGGTTCTTGTATGCATAAATAAATCTAAGAAAATTTAAAAAAAAAATTTTTTTTCTTTTCTTAAAATACCTCATCATTACTGTATCCACAGAGTATGCAACCTGCAACCCACAGAGCCAGTCAGGTGATGGGCGACTCCAGGCCTGTAGGAAACCACTCTCTGAGTCTCATGTTTGTGTCCCTTGGCTGCCCTGGTGCTGGAACTGCATCTCACCTGTTCTTGAATTCTGGTCATGACTGTTGAAGACATCTCCTTAAATGTGGCAGCTATAACTCTGGAAGGTCCAAATGACTTATAATGGGCATTATAAACACAAATCTTAAAAAAATTATTTTAGGGAAGAAGATTCTAAGATTCCTCAAAAATTTAATGGTGCCAAGAATTTAGCTAAAAGCCCCATAATTCCTCAGAGCTGAAGAGGTGTCACAAGGCAGTGTGCCATGTCTTCAGGGCCTAGGGTCTAGACGGGGCCAAAGGATAAACCTTGACATCAATTTCACAAAAAAAGAAACCATGAGATTTATTAGCCCAAGGCAAGATACAAATGACAAATGACCATCACCACCACATTCTGTCAACCAAGTGCCACCTAGCACTATGGCACTATCCAGCATGACCTCCATGGGCTCACTCTTCCTTGTGGGCTGCCCAAAGAAACAAACCCCTCAAATCAAGACCCTTACAACAAACATATTCCAGAGACAAATGGGAAGAAAAGGCTTAGAAAGCCCTGTCACTTTATCAATGCAGGAAGAGAGTCAGGGGAAGGAACTGCAGGACAATGTGGATTTCCAAACTCAGTAAGAGGACAAGTATACAGGCAGGGGCTTCTGGGTCTGGGAAAGGAAATGGGGGGCAGCAGAGGAAAAATGGCAGCGGCCAGGACCTGACAGTTGGTTTTTCTCTACTTCTTCCTCCCGCCTCTCTCCTTGAGGGCCAGGTGGATGATGGCGCCATTCGCCATATTGTAGTAGGCCAGTGAGTTGGAATCCTTGATGAAGATGCCCTGGAAAACAGACAGTGCATCTCAGCAAGAGGCAGCCTGGCTATGAGCACACTGTGCAGCCTCATCACTCCCAATGTCTGTTCACCCTTGAACTGAGCAAGCACAAGAACTTGTGGAAAGGTCAGGGATAAAGCCTAGGGGGACCAGAAATCTCTGGCTCCTCCCACATTTCATTTTCCCTCCCACCAACCAAGTTCTTCTCCTTTTTAAACACTTGGCTCAAAGATTATCTCCCCAAGAAGCTGGTCCTAACCAACCCCATGGAATTCTGAAGCCAAATCACAGACCTTTAGAGATTTAAAGATCACAGAGTTCAATAGCTTCATTTCATAGAAAAGGAAACAGGGTCAGAGTGGGGCTCTACAGGAGTTCCAAGAAGGAGAACACAACAGTTTGTGCAACCTGGTGGGAATTAGGCTGAGCTGGATTCTTACCTCCATTTCCACACATGGAATCGGGCTATATGAGACCATACGAGGGGGTGGCTCCCCACAGGGCCAGAAACCCACTCGACCACTAGTTCTTGACTCCAGTTGTCAAGGCAGAATTTTGTGAACTCCATTATGAGCCCGTCAGAGCTCACCCTGTCAGGCTAACCTGCCCGGGAGCTCTCAGCCAGCCTCATCACTTGTGGGACAATTCAGAAGGCGACACCCACTCCTCCCCACTTCTGTATTTCCATAGTGAATTTAGCTTCTGAGATGACAAAAGCTTTGGGGCCCAAAGCTCAAGACCATGGGCTCCCTGGCTCACCTCATACTGCAGCTTCTGTTTCCCTGCAGGCATGCCTGTAGCCTCATGAATCTTCACCTTGATGACAGAGACCTGTGAGATCAAGGAGAGGTCATTCATGCCCTTGCTAACGCCAACTGGAGGAAGCTATTCCTGACTCCATGGTTCCCCTGCACCAGATGCCAGCTGGCAGCAGCAACTCATACCTGGTCTGTGAGTGGAAGAGTGAAGACCAGCACCTGCCCATTCAGTTTCCATTCTGTCTTATCCTGCATGTTGGGCACCTGGACTTTGATAGACACTGGACCCTGGAAAAGAGGAGGTGGTCATTATGCCCAGGGAGCTCTGCATCAATGTGAACCCAAGCTCTACTGTCCCGGAGCCAGTCCACACGGTGTCATCTGTCTATCTGGACTCCTGAATTCTGCCCCCAGATTCACTACTGACCACTTGTGGTTCTCTCCTTTAAAATGATTCCTGCCCTGTCCCTAGTGACTCTAGAACCAAAAAAGTAACACGAAAATGCTTTACAAATCCCAGACACGTTACAGCAGAAAAGCATATGAACTGTGAGGTCAGAAGACCTGGATTATCAACTCTAAGTCTTCCTGAGCCTTAATACCACGTCTGAAATGTGACCCAGCACAACCGCTGAGCAGTACTGCTGTGAGCATTAAATGGACAAGCGCCTGTATCTGTGTGGCTCTACTCTGGCGCTTAGTATGTGGGTGCTAGAGAAATGGAAACAATAAAAAGGAAAAAAAGGCAAAACAACAAAAGGCTTGGTCAAATGCCCTGGGGTAATAGGGCTAGGTCTGTTTCTGTCTCCTGACTGGTGCCTTCTGAGCTCCAGCAGTGCTGAGGTTCTTTCCTCAATTCTAGCACCCCGACAGGATCCCCACAGGCACAAATCTAATCCCCACAGATAAGGCCGCAAAGATATTAAGACTGCACCAAGATTTCCTCAGGTGCCCGGGGCTCCTTTCTCACCCAAGTGCTGCTGCCTGAGCAGCTGAGTCTCCCTGCTGGACTCCACAGCAACAGTTCACACCACAGGGACCACCAATACTTCTGCCGCTCTAACTTGTGACCCCACATCTAGTGGGTGCATGAATGCCCTCACAGGCCTCCACTGACTAACTGAGGCCCACAAATCAAAACCTGGAAATAGGGTAGCCCAGCAGTGTGAGACTGGGGCAGGACCCGAACCCACCCCAACTAGACACTCCAGGCCACAGCCAGCACTCTGGGACGAGATACCTTGTTTCTACGTAGAAACTCCTCCTCAGGCATGAGACTGTCCTCTGTCTTTAGTTTCTTGGAGGTAGGCTCATCCTCCATGGGAGGCGGGGGGTGAACAGGAGGCATTGGGGCTGGAGCTGGGACAGGTGCCACAGGAGGAGCAGGTACAAAGGCTGCAAGGACAGAGGAAGCAGTTCGTTTGAAGGGGCCCAGGACCTGAGGCTGGTGAGAAGTGAGAGACTGCGAAGGATTCCTGTCTCCGGCCAGAGGTGTAAAGTGCCATTCCTTGCATAGTCTGGCATGCATCAGGTTCCCTGGCAGGCTGTCCATACTGGGCAGCAGGGACTGCAGGAGGGGCAGGACTGATTGATGGGTCTGGAACCAGCAGACTGCCAGGCCTCTGCACCTGCCCAGGGCCTGACCCCTCTGGGGGCATACAGACCCTAGGTGTCCAGGGCTAACCTGTCCAGGGCCACATCAGTCTCTCCTTTCCCCAAGAGTTCTGGCTCTCCAGTTCTCCATTCAGGAATTTCACACATGGGGAAGCTAAGGATTTCCTCTGGGATGACCCCAGCTGAAACAAACGGTGGATAGCACCATCAGTCACTGTTCTGTGCAGTGCTTGGCCTGCAGTCCCTCACCTAATGACGCAGCAAGCAACATGAGAGGCACTGACCTGTTGGCACAATCATGGGGGGTGGACGGGGTGCCATGATAGGAGGAGCTGAGGGAGGCATGGGCACCACGTTGATCCTGGGTGCATGGATGATGGGTGGCATGGGGGCGATCACCGAGCCAGGGGGCAGTCGGACGACAGATGCCATTGGAGGCCGAGGCATGACAGGTACCGCAGACACAACCGTAGTGCGAACGGGAGGCGGCATCTGCAGGGAGGGGTGGGGAAGGAGAGGCCCACAGATCAGAGGAAGCCAAGGCTGAACTTCAAGGGTACACACAGCTGGCAACTAGCCACCTCAGGCTAAGGGCTGGACAACTCCAACTTACCCCGGGGGTTGAAAGACCATGGCCTCATGGTGGGCTCTGACAGGAAATGCACTGAGAGACACCCAGGACAATACTCTTTCTGCCTGGGACTCAATCAGTTACAAGTGACAAACACTGATAGCCACAGGAAGAGGCTGACCTCAATTCAGCCTCCTGGAAGCAGGCCAGCAGTCCTCAAAGACCCATTAAGTCCAGTAGGCCTTCTCTGCCCCAACCCTGCTCTCACAGTGCCACTTGCCTCCCTCCCTGTTCCAATCTGCCCACACAACTGGAAGATAAGGCTAGCGAGTGCCACTTGCATTAAAAGGGTCCTTTCTCTTTCAACTTGACACTCAACACTCAAACCCCACTATAAAGCAGTTGCCAAGGGAGTCCTGCTTCAAGAACCAAGCTCTAAAAATTCAGTCATAAGACAGCTGCCAGCTCACCGCAGGTGGCCGGGGCACAGAGGTAATAGGTGGGGCTGAGCTGGGAATGTTGGTAGCTGAAGACGGAGGTGGTGGTTGCTGGGGGATTTCATTGGGTTTGCTAGGCCCAATCTTCTCCTTGGTGTCATCTTCTGGCACTAGACCCTTGGCCTTGTGGATGGCCTCGATCTGCTCCTGTAGGGTGATATTGGCCTGTGCAGCCTGCTGGGTCCGGGCCATACTGCCAGAATGGCCATCCCAGGTCACCTGCAAGGGAAAACGAAGTCATTGCTTATCAGAGCTCCTGGACTGAGCTCAATATGGGAGTGTGAGGGCAGGGAAGGCAAAGGGATTCATGTGAACTGCACCTTTTCCTCTGGCTTTTGAATCTCTTCCTCGCCAATCTTCTTACCAATGGCTGTTTCTTCTACACCAAAGATATCGGTACGCCGCTCGGCCAACTGTTTCAAGCTGCTCTCAATATCCAGACCTGGACACAGTCACAGAACAGAGGCCAGGGACAGAAAAGGAAACTAAATGAGGTGTCCCTCCAACAAAGCAGTTTTCCCGGTGTGCATGGTAAAGGCTTATGCCACAGGACGAGGCTGAGCATGAACCTCAACACCGCACTCCAGTCTAAGCTTCAGCAAGGTGCCAACCAGCAGCACTAAGCCCGCAAGCCGGAGCTTGTTCAACCCCGTAACTTATAAAGGCAGTGACCGGAAAGGCAACTGGGAGGACGGGGCCGCACAAGTGGCAAGCAGCAGAGACACGACTAAGAGTCTGGTCTCCTGCCTCGGGGGCAGCTTCCTTCTATGGTGCTGCTTTTCACACAGCTGTCACAAAACCACCTTATTTCATTTCTAAATGACCAGGGCCGTTCATTCTAAGACAGCCCCCAGAATGAGCATCCTTCCCAGCTATAACCAGATCTCACTATTGAGATGTCAGCAGGCACATGCCAGCCAATCAGGTGCCCACCTAGAAACGGAGAGATCTTTTGCAACATACTAGGCTGCACCTACCCTTAAAAGCCTCAAGTTTGCTGTCTGTTTAAAGTAATTTAACTCTAACCTGGAGATTTCCATGGGCCTAAGTCAGTCAGGAACGAGTCAGAGAAAGGCATGGACTGAGTGGGAAAGCCCCACCTCACCTGGTGCATACACCTCATCATCGCTCTGCTTCTCTCGAATGGAGCGATCTCGCTGCTCCAACCACCGAGGGTCCAGAAGCCCAATGCGCATGTGTTCCTGCATTTTGCTAGCAGGGATCTTCTCCCCCGTGATGGGGGACACAAGATACTCATCTGGAGCAGGGGCTGGAGGCAGGGGTTTGGAAGCTAAAAGAAAATAGATGTTTAAGTGAGAACACTTGGTGGTAATCTGGGTTAAGACAGCCAGATATATTCATTCAGTGTCATGCTGTACCTAACACTGTTGCCAGGTTACAAGAGATGACCAAAGATGACCAAAGACAGGTCATCAAGGCTTTGATAAAAGGCCACCTCAAGCGGTTCTAGATGGACAGGTGTGAAAACACACAAGAGCAGAACAGCAGGCCTTACCCTTAGGGTCATAGTCTTTCCGAACAATGACCTGGTCTGGAGTTGGGGGCAGAGGTGGAGGCATGGGTGTCTCTGGGGGTGGGGGCACTTTCTGCCCTTCTTCTTCATCATCAGAACCCTGAAAAGTAAAACAGAGTCCAATTCAAGAGGGAAGCTGAGAAGCCACCTCCCTGAAGCTGAAGCTGAAAGCTGTTGGCCTGCAGGGTGGCAAGAAGCCTTAGGTTCCTGCCAGAGTGCATGTGCTCGGCCTTCCAGGGCGGCCGAGGCCAGCCGGCAGCCAGCCAAGCTGCTTCCTCACAACATGAATGGGAGTTCTGGGGCTGTGGTGCTAATGCTCCACCCAGGCATTTCCAACAGCTGGCACCAGGCGGTCCCGGGAGGCCAAGGGCACTTAACATGCTGGGGTGGGGTGTGAGGGGTAAGCCAGCACTCAATGGTAGTCGCTCACCAAGCAATGCTGGGAGGGAGAGAAAAAGTCAATTCCCACAGACACTGGGGCCCTTTCTTCTCAGGCTGCACACAAATTCTTTCCAAGGGGAGGAGAGCAGCTTGGCTCTGGAGACTCAGTCTGCTTTGAGGGCATGGCTCAATGCGGGCAGAGGTGGCCCAGGCACACCGGCTACAGTTAGAAAAACTCTGGGGACTGCTGATCATTTGAGCCCAAGCTCAAATGCACCAAACCACGAGATGGAGGGAGTTTCCCAAGTGAGAGCTAGTATGGGGGTGATGGCGGGGAGAGCCTTTAGGCAAAGCAGGAGGCCACAGCATATGGCCTGCCCACACAGCTTTCAGATCCTTGTTTGTGAATGATTCTCTGTTGTCTGAGCTGGAAAGAGGCTCTGTGCTAGCTGGGCCTGGGCAGCCACACAGCGAGGAGAGCCTATCCACAGCCCACACTTCCTTCCCAGGCTCACCAGGGTGCTGGGCCCCAGGGCTCCATCAGACACTCCCAGCTACTTGGGCTCTGGAGGAAATGGCCGTCACAAAGGCCCTCCTCCCACAGATATACCTCATCCATGTCTTGCACTTGGGTGTCCTGGTCCAGCTGGGAAGGAGTTTCCTCTGTCTTCTCCTGTTTTTCATCCTCCTCATCAGATTCAACCTCCATCTCAACCTCCTCACTCTCCCCAAACTTCTCATAGCGTTCTTGAATGAGGATCCGGGCACCCAGCTCCTCCGGGGTGGTGGGAGGTGGGAAGTTCCCTGGCAGAGGGTGAGCCAGAGTCAGAAGGCAAGCTCCAAAGGCAGTACTCACTGAAGACCCCTCTACTCTCACTCTCCGACCGTGACCTTTCCAATGGCTGGGGCTGCCCGATTTTGCTGCTTTATCCAGAGGTCCACCCAGGTCTGGCACAGTAAATATTTGCTGAATTGGGCTTAACTGGGGCAATATGGTAGAGCCTGAAGTCTTCTGGGGGGCAGAAATGAACCAGACACTGATGAATCCTCTGAGGGATTCTGCTCCTCCTGGATGAGGTCTCCGGGATAGCTCCAAACTCCTGGCCCCCACCTAGAGTCCCTTCTTTATAGACCTACCTTGCTCACTGGGTTGGAAGTCTACTGTTTCCACCACCACAAAATCGTGCCAGTCAATCTGTGCATAAGCTACCCGCTCCTTCTCCTTCTCCTCCTCTTCTTTCTTCCTCTCACGCTCCTGGAACTTGGCCCACTCCACACGGTAACACACCTGAAGGGAGGCAAACAGACCGGTACTGAGCTGAGTCGGGATCTGCTCACAATAACGCTGTCACCCCCAGCTTTCACCAAAGCCAGTATCTCCTTCAAAACAGGTTGCTCTACCCACAAGAACTTCCTAGAGTAAACCAGATAGTATCAGCATTGGTTTCACCCAGGCTGAGTTTAGACAAGATGAAATTTGAAACGCCACAGCAATCTTCTGTCTGGGCCCCAAGGTCAGCCATTTGTTATAACCTCAGTTTTCTACTTGAGTTGGCAAAGTACTCTGAACTCAGAGTAACAAAGTCTCCTCCCAGGAAGTCTGTGTAACAACTGAGTGCCCACATAAGGAGCAGCAGGCTGAAAGGCCGAGGGGAAGAGGCTTCACAAGGCACTGGTAAGCCTTCTCTTTGCCCTCTGGAAACCTGCAACTTCAAAAGGCACCTGCCACCAGAGAAACTAAGAACAGGTGGCTTAATGGAGCCCAAAGCAGAAACTAGTGGGAGCAGAGTCCAGGTCTCTCCAGCTTGTAGCCACAAGGCCTTCTCTCCGCTGCCCCTAAGTCTAGAACGTGGTAAGGCACTGCCTCAGGAATATTTCCAAACACAGGAAAGAACCCACAGAGTGTAACCTGTACCCTACGTAAATGTTTACAAGAAAATCCATTCACCTGGTCCAAAACTTCTCGGGGGTTCTCAGCCTCTTTCTTGAGTTTTGTAAATAGACCTTTGGGTGGAATCAAGATCTGAAACACAGATGAGTCAAAGCATCAGTCAGTGCAGCACAACAGAGGTCGAAGAGGCAGTCTTCCTGGGTCTGCGGAAGGTACAGAAGGCAAGTACGGGAACTGGTCCTACTGCCATGGCCACTGGCTGCATGGCTTTGGGCAAGTCATTCACCTCTGTCACTTAGTCTTCCTGCTATAAAATGATGACACCACTACTTAACGTTGGTACTGACAACTGAAAAGGCTTCTGTAAGAATGAGCAGGAAAGTATGGAAAACCGATGAGCACAGTATCAGTCTGCTTTTCATCTACTTTTATCCCGTGATGCTACTAGGTCTCCCCTGACCACCCTGCTTACACTAGTCAGCCCATTTCTCTAGATTTCCATCCTCCTTTTTTTTTTTTGACTGATTGATTGATGCATACAGGAGCTGGGGTACAAACCAGAGGTGTGGGGGTGAGGGGATTCACCAAAGACAGAGTGGGGCAGAACAGGCCGATCACATGACATACACCGCTGAGAGGAGCAGCGGGCAGGCCACACCATGTGGGCCACCTTCCTGGCCGGGGATCGAACTCATCCTGCAGTGACTGAGGACAGACTCATAGCTCTGTGCTCCAACCAGTTGCACTACGAGGGAGGGCCCCTCCTTTCTTTTTCTCTATTTTTCATCATCTGGTACAGACTGACATTGTGCTTATCTGACATTGTGCTTATCTACCCTTAACTAGATTAGAAACTCCAGAAGATGGGGATTTGTGTTTGTTGTCCAGTATCGTATCTCTAACACTGGAATACTATCTGACACTCAATGTACCTTTGCTGAATGAACACTGGCTTTGTTCAAAAGTCATTCCAACTGCCCTAATAGTGTGACTGCCCACCGCAAGCCCCTGTAATTCTATCTCAGGAATCTCTCTACGCCTTGAGCTCCACATGGCTGGAGACAGACTCTGGGCCCTCAGGTTAAGAGTCCTAAATGTTAATACCAAAGTTTAGAGGGGGAAAGAACAGGACGTAACAGAATAAAAAGGGTTCTGGCTACCTTTGACCCTGGAAGCAGTCCACTGCGGTAATTAAACCAGAACCCGCCTTAAGTCGATCTATGTAATTACAGCAAACCTTGAAACTTCAATGTTTGTTGTTCTACTACTCTACCAGTTTCTGGATTTGGTGGTTCTCTAAACACACATTTTTACAATTCTTTCTAGTTATATACTAACAATAATTGCCTCAAAAGAAACTGAGTGCTTTCAAATCAGGTCTTTAACATTGTTTCTAGTTATGCCACTAAAAAGGAAAGCCCACCTCACTACATGTGTACTAAAAAAAAGTGCCCTAGATAAATCTACACCAGTGTACTTCGCAATAAGTTAAAAATATGATTATTTTTAAACCAGTTCAGATTCTTGATTGTAATCATATAGGATAATTGAAATCTTAAGGCCTGGATACAACTGCCCAGCTGCAGCTCTGAGACCTCCTAGCTGGCCAAATGAACCTCTCTGAGTCTCAGCTGCCTCATCGGTAAAGTCTAACAGCAGCTACATTATAGATTATTAGGGGTTATATAAGATGCTACACATCTATGAACTCCATAAACATTGGCAAACTTCAGTTAAATTGTTTCCCACTTCCTATTAAATTATTTCTGACTTGGTTTCTATCTTAGCACAGTCATTCACAAGCCGAGAGACTACGAGTTAAGTGACCTCGCCTTTCTAAACCTGTTTCTGCTACTATATGATGGGGGTGAAACATTTCCCTCATGGGGTCTTGTAAGGAAACAATTAGGTAATGAAAGGCAACAGTTAAGACTTTGCTTCTTCTCAGGCCCTGTGCAAGGCTACGAAAATTGAAGTATGTTTAAAAACAGCTAACACCTCTGGTCTTTTCACATAACGGGCACTCATCTAGTGCAGGGATCAATCACACATTTCTCTTTAGAACAGCAGTTTATGTTGCACTTAAAAGGAATGACTGAATAGAAATCAAGGTTTTACAAGGAACTGGAATTTCTGACATGTGCAGTATCCTGAGAGACAGTGCAGAGTGCATACAGTGCAGTACCTTCCTTCACTGGCCCGCACCCCAGCCCGCCTGGCCCTGGCACCTTCGTATACTGTTCCACCAGCTTTGTGAAGTAGTTGAAAAGGCTGTGCTGTGGGCGGAGGAAGTCAAACTGATAGTTGCGCTGCTCTTTCTGCATCAGCTGGGTCAAAAACTGGCGCCCGTTCCTGGCTACAAACTGAGCAGTCAGCTTCACGACGTCCAGGTCGAAGGCCGATATGGATGGGGGGTCTGCGATGAATTCAAACTCTGGAGGGGGCTCCTTGGGCACAATGGTCTCTTGGATCACCTGGGCTTGTACCTAAGACACAGAGGGGTGTGAGGCCAAAGGCAGTGCCTACGGGCTCGAGAGCACACCTCTTTGGGGTGGCATCTATGCTTCTACATTCTGTGCACACCACTGGCATGTGGTGTGCGATCCCTAACATTTAAGAATATGTATTTCCAAGACAAATGTGGCCTCAACTCCCTGAATAGCTTGGAGTCAGCTCATGCCCTCTGTTATCTCTGTTCCTGTGTTGAAACAGAGACAAAACCAGGGGCCAGAAGATTCAACAGGAATAGAGTTTCCCAAAGGATTTGGAGGACACAATGGCCTGTACGTGTGAATAAAAGTCCCTACTGGACAGAATAGCTCCAGGCTTATCACTTCATTTGACCTCCAGATGAACTATGAGATGGACAGAAGAGGTACTGTGATCCCTTTCTGTAGATACGGAAATGGGTAGCCTGAGCCTAGAACTAATAAATTGCAATGTAAGGGCTTAGAACCCACGTCAACCTTTACCTCCCACAGTAAAACAGAGGCGGCCTTCACCACATGCTTCAGGAGTAAAGCAAAGTGAAGGGGCCAGTCCAGGCCTACACAAAGACAACCCTTACAGGTCCTAGGTGTCAATGCACCAGCACAGGACTGGAGGAATGAGAGTGAGCCAGATGGAGGGGCCCTAGAAAGGCAAAACGGGGGGGGAGGGGGAAGGATTGGCAGAAAAACTGCCCACTGGTCACCTCACAACAATGTACCCATATCATATTCAAGGCAAAGTAGGGGCTGACTCTGCCCTTGAGTAAATCATACTTCCCCAAGCCTCAGATTTCTCATGCATACTTATGGTCACGCTGCCAGATTCCTTCTGCAGCCTCCTTGAAGTAGCAATGAGACATGGCTCCTTAACGCACTGCACACAGGCTCAACGAGCAGTGCTGGGAGTGCCGCCAGCAAGTACTTTGCAAAGCCTCGTGTTGGCCTTGTAAGATGGGGTGGGCAACCCCACGCCTCTCCCTGGGTAGGAGAGACCTGAATAGCAGAAGTGCATCCTCTTCACCTCCCCCCGGTTCTGGGCAAGTAAACAAAGGGAGGGGCGCCAACCTTCTGGGGTAGTTGCTGCTGGGCGGCTTGCTGCTGCTGCTGCATAACCTTGGGAATGGCGGCCGAGGGCTCCTGTGCCTTCCCCTCTTTGAACTCGCTGACCTTGTGGCGGTAGTAGGCATGATAAGGGTCATTGGGGTTCAGGAAGTTGAACTTGGGGTTGTTGATCTCATTCTGTCGTATTCTAGCTTCAAATTCAGGTCCATTTCTAGGAGTTAAAATAAAGAAGAATTAACATCTGCTTAGACTCAGACCACAGCCCAATCGAACCCTTTGTTGTCACGGCCCATCAGCAGGTTAGCCTGTCCCTCAGCAAGCACAGATTCTTCTGGAGTCTCCTAGTGCCAGAGGCCAGCGTCACCTGCCTTGCTTGGCCTGCCCGGGCCTCCTCTACCACAGGCGTCCCAGCGCTCCATCAATCCTGCAGCTCCTCTGCCAGTTTTGCTATTCCAAAACTACGTGTGTTATTATTTCCTTTCTATAAACACTGATGAAGGGCTTACTAACAACAGGTAGTCATAAAATTAAATACAATGTAAACAAAGTAAAATTACTTAATATTTACTGAAACTGAGGCCGGTTCTTAGCTAAAAAGGGGGATGACTAAGTGCCAGAGAGGTGTTAAAGACACAGTGATGCTCTGTCCGGGGCATAACCAGAACTGAGGGGAAAAAAGAAAAAGAAAAGAAAAATTAAACAATCTGATTACTATTTTGTCCAAATAGTGTCTAATGTTACCTCATCACTACTGGGTGAGGCCCACACAGGCAGGATGGCACTCGTAAAACCGAGAGCTGCGCTGCTGTGAACGAGACATTCAGGCAACAGGGTTGGGTGATCCAGAGGGCTTGTGTGACTTTTGAAAACCTCAGGATGATGACAAAATGTATCTCATGCTGTTTAGAGAAACCTGACGTTTAAAGAGTTCAGATAACATTCCAAGGTGCTGCACATATGTAGAGAACCTGTGTCTGTGTGGTAACTTTGAAGTCGCACGGCAAGGACATGTTCAAGTTTTGCATCCACATTACCTGGCCACACCACCAAACTTCTCTTTGCCTCCATTTTACACGTGGATAACACTATCTTCCCTCTTAATCCTGAAGTACTGAGAAGATTAAAGGAGTTGCCAAGTTTTTCTGAATCTATTTTTTTTTAACCTTTTTTTAAACATAGCCTGCAAATGCAAAGGGTTCTTACTCCTACAAAGGCTAACAGGTTATCCCAGTCAAAAGGACCAGTGTGTCAGGAGTTGTCTATAGGGACTGCAATTCCCAACCAGGGCCCTGAACTCAGAGATGCCCAGCCCATCGAGGGTCAGCCTGGGAGAGCGCAGCCAGGTCGCCCCTCTCTCTCCAACGTGTATGCCCAGCAGGAGGTAGGCAGTGGTGTGCCCGAGATCAGCTATAACAATCAGTGCCACTGTGTTGGTCATCAACACCCAGGCTAGCTCCTCAGCAAGTTCTGGTCACACTCGTAGCGTGACTAACACCATGAGGTCTCAATACGACACAATGAGCAGCGCAACTAGAACTGCAGGCCTGGGGGAGAAGCATTCCTCCCGTCCCACGAATAATGCACACCACACACAAGGAGGAGGGTGAGCACTCAGCTAAACACCACTAAACTAGGTCACCAGACCCAGCAAACGCCCAGGGCAGAGAAAGAGCAGCTAGAAAAAGGGGCTATGGCTGTCTCTTCTATCACGGCCTCCCCTTGCCAAAACTTGACTACATCTGGGAATGATCTAAAAGACAAAGAAGGCAGGCAGTTCTTTCCAAGTTATCCTGGTGCATTAGCAAAGTTAATTTTGGAATTATATTTTCCAACACAAGGAATACATTTCAGCAGGAAAGGACATGATTCTGACTCAACCCAGTTGGTGGGACTTTTTTTTTTTTTTTTTTAAAGATTTATTTATTTATTCATACAGAACTGGGGTACAGGCCAGAGATGCGGAGGGTGAGAGGCTTCACCAGAGACAGAGTGGGGAGCAGAACAGGCAGATCGACGAAGTACACTGCTGAGGGGAGCAGCGGGCGGGTCAGGAGAGGTCTGCCACACCATGTGGTCACCTCCGGGGCAGGCGGGAATCGAACTCATGCAGAAGTGGCTTTAGCTTCTTAGTGCTGTGCTTTAACCCGCTGCGCCACCAGGGAGGGCCTGGTGGGACTTTTTAAGGGTAATTTCCACTTCCGTTTCTTGACTGAAAAACCCAGGGAAGAGCTAACCTAAATTTTAAAAAACTTCTTTTGGAAATCCACACTTGGTTGCAAATTTTCACTGTTATAATCCATCAGCCAATACGTGTGAACTGAGCAGAAGTAAAGCAGAGGTCCCTGAGAGCTTGCTTTATCCCAGAGTGAGATGCTGGTCTGTCCCTTCATTGAAATGTAAACAAAAGCCAAGTTCACAGATTTTAGACATGCCTATAAAAAAAGTCATCTTCAAGCATCATGACAGATCTAGATGTAGCAAAAACAGATCTAGAGATGTGGATATAAAGATTTTTTAAGGGAACCTATTCATTCCTGTAGCAACAGAGGTTGACACAAAATTACTGGAAAATCACTTGGGAAAATACTTTTAAAATCATAAAAGTGCTCTTCAGCCAGAATTGTGCCACAAATTTTCTTCTAAGGAAACAATTTAAAAGGCAAAGTAAATGCTCAGAGACTTCCCCACAGCTTCCTCTGCTGTTGGAAACAACTTCAAAGGAAACAATAGAGACAACTAAGTGAAAGGGCCCATCACCTCAACACCGAGCATCCTCCCATGGTGCACCAGGAGACGAGGAGCAACACAGAACGCTGGCGACATGGCGAGGGAAAAGCAGGATGTGAAAGTGTAACTGCTAGTGTGCCAAGGATGTAGAGAAAGGATGCCAAGGGCCAGAAGGAAACAGGAAAAATAAAAGCAGCTGGTAAAAACTGCTATGGTAGTGAGATTGTGGTGATTCCTGCCCCAACATGCTTTCCTCTTTACCCTGTTGTGGAAAAGGGGGAGCTTGCTCTCAGACAGAACTGTCATAAACACAAACCCTTTGTGATTGGTCAAGTTCAGTCACACAGAGCAGTTTTAACCACTACTGAGGCCAGCCCTGAAATGTGATGTGATGAATCTGCATGGAGCTTGACACAACAAAAGACACCACCAGAGGAAGCTTCTTTGGAGGTGATGTAGTGTGGTGGGACTGCTCCTCAGGGAAGAAAGGCCTGGGTCCCCGGAGAGCTTATCCTCTGAGCCAGGGCAGCACTCTACTCAAGGTAGCTATGGCTCCACGGAAGTTTGTCCAGTTTGTCAAGAGAAGCCAGAAATCCAGATTTATTGTGTAAACTCCAACTAACTTAAGTTTAAAAGAGAAGTATAGGCTGGATGTGACCTGTGGCTGTTAAAGGAATACATTATTTAGTTTAAAACGGGTCTACGGGTTAATGCTATCCAAGCCACTGCAGCTCAAGCTCGATTAAGGACCTACTTAATTTACTTTTTAAAAAAAAAGATTTATTTACTTAGCATACAAGAACTGGAGTAGACCAGAGGTGTTGGGGTTGAGAGGATTCACCAGAGACAAAGTGGGGAGCAGAGCAGCAGACTGACTAAAATACACTGCTGAGGGGCGAGACAGGAGAGGTCTGCCACCCCATGTGGGTCAGGGATCAAACTCGTGCTACAGTGGCTGCGGATAGCTTCATACTGCTGTGCTTTAATCCATTGCACTTAAATCTTTTTAAGATTTATTTATTTTTGTATAGAAGAATTGGGATACAGGCCAGAGGCTCAGGGAGGTGAGAGGATTCACAAGAGACAGAGTCAGGAATAGAACAGGCAGATCGACTGAAACACATTGGTGAGGGAAGCAGCAGGCAAGAAGGGAGAGGTCTGCTGTACATGTGTCACCTCCCTGAACAGGGATCAATCTCAGGTCACAGAGGTGACAGCGGTGAAGTTAAACCCTAGGCAACCAGGGAGGACCAGAAGAATAATTTAAACACCCTAAACTAGGGGCCACCTTGACCTCTGGGACCAACTGTCTTTCAAGAAGATTCCAACTGAGGTGTGAGCATGTATAAACAGATGGGGGAGAGAGGAACTTGGACTAAATGAAGATAGATTTCCGGGCCACCTCAGAAGTCAGTTGATCCCTGTTAGGATGAGCCTAACCTGCATTCAGTCCTATTACCTCACAACAACCCTGGGCTAGCAAGTGATTCCATTTTTGCAGATGGGTCACCTGAGGCTGAGGAATATGGCATTTACACAATGAGAATGATTAACTCCCTCTTCTGTCTCCCTCAGGCCAGGAGCTCAGACACAGGCATCTAGGCATTTCTGTGGGCCTGTTATGGAAGTAAAGTTTTCTGGTGACTCTCTGGCAGGGTGTGACACACACTACCACTGCCATGGTGTCCTGGGGATGCTAGTGCTGCCTGCGACTTACGTAAGGGGCATGTTGTAGCTTCAGGCCTAAGCTGACAACTCTTCTCTTTGAAAACCCAGATTTTATGTTAAAATCCGCTTCTGTCCCACATGGGTGAAACAGCTATGTTACCTGGCCACAAAGCTGGCAGTCTTGTCAACGATATTCCTGACCTCTGGAGGAGGATAAATAATCCCCACCACTGGCTTGGAAGGGGTAGAATCCTCCTTTGAAGATGCTTCTTCTTCTGGGGGCTGTGAAAACAGGAAAAGGAAATAAAGTCTTTCAAGCTGCTGGTTGGGTCTGGATTCCCACCTTTAAAACTCCCCTACGAGTACAGACTCTCAGAGACTCGCCGATTACAGACTCTCTCAGAGACTCGCCTCAGGTTCTGGCCCCTCTGTTCCAGAAAAGCAGTTGCCTAATCTACAATGTGTTTGCACAAGACACCTCAGGGAACCAATTAAAGAAAACAGCTTCTCTGGTTCCCTCACCTAAAACGCCTCGGTGACACAGAAAATCTGCACTTTCACCATGTGTTTAAGGGGGTTCAGATGCAAAAAGGGCTCTGACTACATTCTGAGAAACCAAGCTCCAGAATCCAGAAGCCATGCTTGTATTCCCATACCCAGGGATGTGCCTGGCAGGAGATAATTAATGATTGTTTGCTGAATAAAGAAACAGGAAACTCCTTGCTGGCAGCTCCTTTTGCCTTGAATGCCCTTTTCCTCTGTATTCATTCCAGTCTAACCACTGTCTATGCAAAATGTTTTGTGAAACTCCACTGGAATGCAATAATTTGTCCCATCAGTAGCAATATTCTTTCTTCACCACCTGCTTCCCTTAGTAAACAAAGGTCAAGTCTCTCATCTTAGAAAAAAGGTTCTTCCCTGCTCTGTTCCTTTCTGCTGCTGCCTTCTTCCCTCTAAGAGCCCCTAAATTCTATTTTTGGTTCTCTTCACAGTATTCAGGTCCTTATCAGATGTTCACAACCATGGCTTCCACTTCTCCTACCAACTCTGGGCTCAATAATCCTACCCAAACTATCTGGGATCACTCTCATGCACTACGAGGCTTTCAATCCCACTGATTCCTGGGCCATTCATTTCTAAATACTCTCCTCATGAATGCAACTAGGTATCCAGCTCAGAAACTGGGCTTCCTCTCCCTCTCTCAGTCTGCACATTCAAATATTAAACACAAAGTAGGGTTCATGTATTTTCCTAAGCAATTTTACCATATTAATTAGCCCTACATGCTGTGTGGTAAGTAGCTTTATCACCTCCATTTTACAGATGACAGAACTGAGGAATGGCGCAAGTGACAGGACCAGTGGTGGCTGAAAGCCTGCACTTCAATCACTTTGTCACACGAGCTTTCCCCATCTCTCTGCCAAAATCTAGGCCCTGTCCTCGGCGTCTTTTGAATAAAGTCACTCAACTTTTGTCTTTCTAGTATTTCTCCACATCCTTGCTTGCCTGCCTGAGTTTCTGAAACATTAACATGTTACTATCTAGCTTAAAACTCATCCTTTTCTCATTAATGTCTACTAGGGAAAATCTGAATCTTCATAATTGCTTTTCCAATTACCAATCTCCAACCCTATGCTCACTCACACCTGTTTGTTTACTAACTGGTTCCTACCTTGTTGTCTCTGCACTACTGCCTTGCATTTCCATTTATTTCTCCAGTGAATGGGAAAAGTGCTGAAGCAGGCACCTAAGTAAATGTAAGGGCATGGACCTCCTGTCAAGGCCCCAGCTGTATTCTGAACCCACAGCAGTGTTCACACATTAAATATGACACATATTTTACATAAATATGTATGTATTGTTTTCTATGGAAAGTATTTTCTAAATTTTAACTATTACCCTTCCCAAACCATCTATCTGGTAAACTCTTACCTGCCTTTCTAAAAGTAATATAGTTTTGTTCCTAAGGGCTTTGCCTCCCTTACTCTCCCCCCACCCCCTATCAAAAGTGATGCTGATGACCGATCCTTTGTACCTGGTATTCTAACATAAGGCATAGGACACCTGCAATTATTTATGTACATACACCTCCACCCGAGCTGACTGTGAATACTTAAGGACTGGCTGGAATCACATCACTTGCTGTAATTGGGCAGTAAACATATGCTGAATGTTCATGTCTCTCCACTAGTCCATAAGCAACCCAAGGCAGAGGTTGGGTCCACGCATTTCATTAACATCGGTGCCTGACACAATGTCTGACTTAAAAGCAGCACCGAACAGCCGCTGCGAGTGAACATTCAAAAATCTATCACCGAGCTTGGGAAATTCGGAATAACTGGGCAAAGCCCGAGGGAGCGGAGGCGGTCAATGGGGCTGAAGGGCCAAATGTCACAAAGACCGGGGGGTGGGCTGGGCCAGTATTTCTCAAACTTTAATGAACCACCCTGGGGTCTTGCTAAAATTCACGTTACTATTTAGAAGGTCTGGGGTGGAGCTTTCTCATTCCTAATAAACCCCTAAGTGATGCTGACGCTGCTGGTCGCGAACCACATTTGGAGAACCACCGTTGTAGACCGCTGCGTGGCTACTAGAAGGCAGCGCCGCGCCGAACGCGCGCAGCCTTCTGGGACTTGCAATCCCTCCAGGCCCCCTTCCAAGCAGCCACTTCTTCCCGTGCAAGTGAGAGGCGCCCGCGCCGGAGAGGAGGGCCTGGGCCTAGGCTTCGGCCGCCGGTCGAAGTGCAGGGAACGCAGTACCTGTTTGGGCTCGGTGGCCACCGGCGGCGGTGGGGGCACCGCCTGCACGGGTCCGGCCGGCATGACTGCGACGCTGAGGGCTGCCAGTCCGCCTCTTTGTCGGTGAACCGCGATGAGATCAAGGACGGTGCCCTGCACCGATGATACCGCAAGCTCGCAAGATGGCGGCCGCCGAGTGAGTCGCCGCCAGGGCGAGGCTGACGCACTTCCGGGACTGCCCCCTCTCCGTGACGCACTTCCCGCCCCTAGCCCGCGGGTGATGCTGGCGCGATGCCGTTGTCATGGCAGCAGCCGGGGAGCCAGGCTAGATTTGCTGTGGATCCCAGGAGCTGCAGGCGCGCCGGGTGCAGTTCCATGGGCCGACCAGAAACAGGGGCTGAGGCTGCGACCCCGGAGACTGGTGAGACGTTCACCCTTCGGACGGCCCCGCGCCCACACGGCGCCCCCAGCCCACCCCTTACTCCGCAGGCGGGTTCCTCATTCTCTAGTGACCCGCCTTCTGGATCCCCCACTTCCCGCTATTGGCCTCTTTTTGGAGACCACCCCCTGTCGGGTCCGCCTCCTCAAAGCCCCACCTCCTACTCCCTGTGCCGCCACTTTTGTTTCTGGCCCACCTCCTCCAGGACGCGCGCCTTCTTTCCTTACTGGTCCCTTTTCCTGTGGGCATGCCTTTCTGGTCCGTATCCCGCCCTCAAGGCCCCCTGTACCATCTCAATTCTGGGCTGCTTTAGGCTCCCCTCCTCCCTACCACAGGTGCCTCCCGAAGGCACACCTCAGCCTTCTCTTCCTCTCCTGAGTTACCTCTCCTCTCCTTTTAACTCTGGAATGTGGACCAACTCCAAGCCCTTGCCTAGACTTCACTTTCTTCGGCTGTGAAATGGGAGAGTGGTAGGAAGAGAGGCTCTCCCAAGTTTCCTACCCATTATCTCACCCTGTGCCATAAAATAGGTACTTTACGTTTGTTTCTTGTATGAAACAATGAAGGACAATGAAGTTCATAGTTGAAATGACAATCCACTCCAATTATTATTTTTGTCATTTTGAAATGACAATCCACTGCAATTATTATTTTTAAAAAATATTTAGTTATAGAACTGGGGTATAAGCCAGAGGTACTGGGGCTGTGAGAGGATTCACCAGAGACAGAGTGGGGGACAGAACAGGCAAACAGACCAAGTACACTGTTGAGGGGAGCAGCGAGGGGATGGGTGGAATCAGGAGAGGTCTGCCATCCCATGTGGGTCACCTCCCTGGCTGGGGATCGAACTCGTGCTGCAGTGGCTTCGGAGAGTTTCATAATGTGGTGTTTTAATCCCTTGCACCACCAGAGAGGCCCCTTCTCTGCATTTACTGGCGGGTAATCCCCTGCCTTCATGTGGTTCCTGCTATGTCCCAGTATTCCACACTATTAACAATTCCGAGTCAGAGATGGCCATATAAACAGCTTTAGTGTTCCCAAAGTGTTTACATGGTGCTGACCTTGAATCTTAGTGGGTACACTGACCAGGTAGAAAATGTAACCTATAGCAGGGACACAGGACCCAAGAGCTAGCAGGAAAGGGCTTGAATGCTGAACAGAAGTGGACAGACTTTGTCTTCATCAAAGTCAGCTTTAAGTTCAAGGAAATTGGCTTCTCCTAATTCAGAGGGGCATTGCTTCGATAAGTGTCATCACCTCTGCGATCTCAGGAGCAGTGTAAGTTTAGGCTGACCGCTTGCACAGCCCCAGGATTACAGGGAAAGCCCATGTCAAATTCTCCCACATTAAGTGATGCTTGGCCCATGCTTAAATCTACAAAACCCTAACTTCAGAAGAAATGACATGAGTTAAGCTTAGATATTGTTCGGTATTCTGTTTTCCTTTTTATATTCTTGATATTTTGCCCTATGTTATTGCTTATCAGAAGCAGAGTCCAAGTGAAGATAAACAGATTAATGTTTCTTTTTTGTCTTTTTTATATATAATAATATAATAATTTATTGACATCATTTTGTGCCTTTTTCCATCTCAGTTGTAATCCCCATGGGCTTCCCATCACCAAATCACCCATGTGCCATCACCATAGTCCAATGCACTTCCCTCCTCCCACTGTTTTTGATCCCATTCCCTATTCCACCCCCGTAAAATGTCTCTAGTATATAGTTGTTCATTATTATTATTATTACTATTATTATTATTTTCTCCCCTGGTCCTTTATACTCCTGCTATGAGTGAAACCATCTGGTATTTTTCCTTTTCTTTCTGGCTTATTTCGCTAAGCATGATCCCTTCCAGTTCCACCCTGTTGCTGCAAAAGGCATGTGTTTATTTTTTTTTTGGTTGCTGAGTAATATTCCATTGTGTATATGTACCACATCTTTTTAACCCAGTCATCCACTTTTGGGCATTTGGGTTATTTCCATGTCTTTCCAATTGTAAATAAAGCAGCAATGTTTCTTTTTTAAAAAGATTTGTTTATTTATACATACAGAACTAGGGTACAGGCCAGAGGTGCCCGGTAGGGTGAGAGGATTCACCAGAGACAGAGTGGGGAGCAGAACAAGCAGACTACTGGAATACACTGCTAAAGGGAGCAGCGGACAGGTCAGGACAGGTCTGCCACACCATGTGGGTCACCTCCCTGGAGGGATAGAACCCATGGTGCAGTGGCTACAGTAGCTTCATGTGCTGCATTTTAACCTGTTGCACCACCAGGGAAGGCCCAGGTTACTGTTTCTTAGTATCTTCACAAGAAAGCTCTGGAGTTCGATGTGTTTTGACACCTGAATTTGCCTCTTACCTGGGTGGGGCTTCTTGCTTGCCTTACTTATTTCCTTCCTCCCATTCTAGGAAGGAAACCCAGAATACTTCATTCTGGTTTTTGTTTTTGTTTGTTTTTCTGCTTCATTCCTTGGGGATATAAAATCTTCTGGGTAGCACTATCTCATGAGACAGTTGCCTAGTCAACAAATATCAAATAGACACTGGATTTTGAGACTTAAGCAGAAAAAATATCCCTAAATTTTTGTATTATTTTCAGACTGAAGTGATGATACTTGGGGTATTTTGGGTTAAAAAAAGATATATTATTAACTTTACCAGTTTGATTTTACTTTAATGTGTCTAGTACAAAATTTGAAGTCCATTGAGTGACTTGAATTATATTTCTCTGGAACAGTCTGCTCTAGAAGCAGCATGGCCTGAGGATAGAGCAGAGGTGCTAGAATCAAGAATCCTAGCTCTGTGTGACCAGGGGCAAGCCCCCTAGCTTTTCAGAACCTCGAATTCCTTATCTGTATAAAGGAGGCAGATTTGTGGAAGTGGCATGCCGTGGGTCCTGCAGCCAGAGCTAGAACACTGAAGCGTGCCTCTGTGCTCAGGCTCCAGGCATGCAAGCCCCTCCCTTTCCCTCACCCCCGCCTCAAGCCCCGGGCATCCTTCCCTTCTTTCTGAACAGCCTCCTCCCTGCCTCCAAGGAAGCCCTCCTCTCCTTCAACCACCAGTATTGCCTTCATGCATCGCAGGGACTGAAGAGTTGCTCAGAGCCAGCCCCACGCAGGAGACGGGAATCAAGGCGCCTGGATGATGAGCCTCTCCTGAGCCCAGCACCGCAGGCCAGCCTGAGAGCTGGACACACTCAGACACTCAGCTCCACAGACAGGCGACGGCACAGAGAGAGGTGAGGACAGGGCCCAGCCCGGTGGGGGAGACCAGTTGGGCCTGCACCACCTCTGAGCTTCCCAGCACCTCTGGGCTCAGGTCGGTAGCCCCACGTGGCCAGGTCATACTGCACTGAACTCAAAGACAATCCATGCACTCTCAGGAAGCAGTCTGCCCCTCCACAAATAATTACTCAAATAGTGGTTCAGTGCCAGTGCAGGGAGGAAAAAAAACAAGAGTGTGGAGGAAAAAAAACTCTAAGAGTGTGTAACAGGGATCCCACCTGGTCCGGTGATTCAAGGGAGATGCCTCATCAGGAGGAAGTATGGGGAGGGGCACATTCTGGGTGGTGAGGAGATGGAGACAGACCACACAGCCGGGCCGGCCGGAGCCCAGGGAGGTGTTCTAGGCTCGTGCTGAAGAAAACATAAAGGGTTTCAGCAGGGGGCAGATCTACCTTTGAAAATGACCCCTCTGGCTACCCAGACAGGTGGACCAGGTAGCACCGAGCAGAGGGAAGAAGGTGGCTCCTTAGGAGGGCAGCTACAGGCAGTGGTTTCGGGAGATGGTGTGTAGAGCAGTGCCGATGACAGAGGTGCGTTCTCTGTGTGTCTGAACGTAGAGTTGGCAGCTCCAGGAGTTTGGATAGGGGGGTCAAGGGAAGGCGATTCACCAACATGCCCACACATAGGTAGAGGTTTGCTCAGTGGCCGTGCAGCTTTCTGAGATGAGGGATCTTGGGGTCAGATATAGGGTTGGGGGAAGAGCAGCACCCAGCCAGGCCTCACCTTGCTGGGGCTGGAGGTTGTTGAGGAAAGTGGGTTCAAGAGGGTGTGCCAGGGCCTCAATGCTGCCGAGCAGTCCCAGCATTTCAGGGAGGGGCTGTGAATCAGGAAGAGCTGCTACAAGCCCACCGGCTAAGGAGCCCTGCCTCAGCGTGGGAGGAGCCAGAATTTAGCATTTACTACGCTGCCCAGATGTGAGCAGAGGGCAGGCTTTGACACCAGCAGCAGAGGGTAAAGTCCCCACCACACGTGAGCCACAGTGGGGCCACAGCTGTGTCACTGTCCTCCCCCTGCTGAGTCAAGGCCATGAGGGCTTTGTCCAGACCAGTCCACGGCTCCTGGGCCACAGGCTCCAGGTGCACAAGGAACCGGCTATGCAGGCCATGGGGACAAGGAGAGGTGCCGAAGCCAGCCACCAGCTCCAATGAGGACAATCTTCGGCCTTGTCTCTGCTCGTAATATCGATCACCGTGATCTCCGCTGTCTGTGGGCTTTCATTGGCGCCTGGCTTGGCCTGAGCACTTTGTAAATGGACACCTGCCGAGGACTTGCCACCACAGACCTGATTGGGGCCTTGTTCCCATTTTATAGCTGAGGCAGCTGGGGCTCAGAGAGATGTATTCTCCGTAGCAAGATAAAAGGCCCCCTGTGATCAGAGTGATTGAGATCATACAGATTTTCAGATTTTCCTCTCTAACACCTTATGACTTATTTTCCACCAAAGTCAATGTATTAAAAATTTTCTTTATGGATTCCATTTTTCAAAAATTATATTTGTTTATTCATTTTGTGGAAGCTAGAGGTGCAGGGGTGAGAAGATTCACCAGAGACAGAGTGGGGAGCAGAACAGGTAGATTTCCTGAAGTACACTGCTGAGGGGAGCAGCGGGGAGACAGGAGAGGTCTGCGGTGCCATATTTGGGTTTTTGCCCCCTGGCCAGGGATGGGCTTAACCCTTAGGTCACCAGGGAGGCCCTCTGTGGATGCCACAGGGACTTAGACTGTGGACCTTGCTTGGAGAGGGAAGGCCATTCCAGCAGAGAGTAATCAGGGCTGGGATGGGGGACCTCCAAGAGGTTATCTGACCCAGCCTGGAGGATGCCCAAGAAAGGCTTTCTGGAAAAGGTGATATCCAAGAGCCCTGAAGGATGACAGGAACGAGCCAGGTGATGGGGACTGGACAGAAGAAGCACGAATCAGAGGGAGGAGATAGATAGGCAGATTCAGGGGTAGTATAGAGGGTGTGAGGAGTATATCCAGAGGTGACTTTTCTTTCTAGACCCACAGGGAGCCCCCAGCGGTTGTGGGCCAGTGCGACATGGTCATATAGGGTTTAGCCCAGATCTCTGGAGATACAGTGGGTCAGAGCTGTGGCCCAGCTGGAAGCTGCTGCAGCGGCCCAGGTGGGAGACAGTGGCTGGCATGGCCAGCGTACCCCAGCATGTAGGTACAACTCCTTCTCAGTTGACAGTTGCACATACCGACTTTTAGAGGTACGTGTGGAACAAAGGAATTAGTGTAGGCTCAGGGTAGGGGGCGGTGAGAGGGAGCCTCCGGAGGTCACCCACAACTGGATCCTCAAGAGCCTGGGGGCCTGGGACCAGGGAACAGACCTCTCCCCAGGAGCTAAGGTAGGCTTTCGGCCTAGCATTAACAGGGCAGAGGGAGGGTTTAGGAGACTCCCCTCACGGTGGCTGTGAGGCTCTGGCTAATGGGCTCCTCTCTGCCCGCCCCAGGAGCTGTGAGGATGGCACACCTGCTGGGCAGCCAGGACTGCATGGACAGCCTGCGCAAGGACCTCACCGACCTGCAGGGCGCCATCGTGGACGTGTCCTCCCGTGCTGGGCCCGTGCGCTTCCCCTCCTGGAAGTTCCCTGACCGTGTGGCCTGTGACCTGGACATGGTGGCTCTGCTAGAGCACTATGACCACGTGCCTGGTGACCCCGAGTTCACACAGCTGGCCCATGCCGTGCTGCTGGAGCTGGTCATTGACAGGTGAGGGCCTTGACCAAACCTGGTGGTCTCAGGATATTGGTCCCTGCCCCTTACACCAGCAGCACCTGCAGCGTCCCCACCAGTGGTGATGTAGCTCTGAGATGTCACCTGTTAGTGCCAGGTCAGCGGGGCACCCTCTCAGGGCTCTCACCTGGTGGTGTGTGCGGTGCTATGCCGTCCTATCCCTGCCACCCTCAGGAGTCGCTGGCCACGCTGGGCTGCTGTTCTGCATGGCACAGCAGCTCTGACTGCTGCCTCTGTGGCCACTGCAGCTGCCTCCTCAGGCTTTCTGTGCCGTGGGGACCACAGCTGCTGCTCAGAGTTTCCATCCTCGGCTCCTCTTCCTGGCAGCTTGTGGGCTGTGCTATTCCCTCTTCGTGTCACAGGGCCAGACACGGGATGTGTTTTCCAGCTCCAGGCCCTGCTGGGAGGAGGCCGGCAGACTCCCTCACAGCGCCCCCTTCCCCCCCCCACACACACTTCTACATCGTCATTTAAGTTAATGTGGCCATCAGCCTTCCTCTTCCCGGGGACCATAACCCAGGCTCCATGTGCTCAAAACCTTATAAGCTAAGGAAGTCATGGAGGCCCAAAAGGCAGGGACCCCAGGAGTTTTGGGATGATTTGCTCAGTGACAGAGAGGGCTGCTAGCCCCTCAGAGGTCTGGAGGCACCGTTTGTAACCTTTGAGGGACTGAGTGTATGTTAAGTACAGAAATGCCTTCCTTCCTCACCCTTAAGCCCCAGCTTACCCATCCCCCACCCCACTGGAAGCTGTTGCAGACATCTCTTCCCACCCTCCACCTGGCCCCTCTTCTCACCTCTGGCTGAATTAGCTGGAACATCCTCCTGGCAGGAGCTGCTGGGGCTGAGACCTAGACCAGCCTGGTAGCCCTGGAGACAGAGCTCAGGGTATGGAGTTTGGCAGTGTTCAAGCTCATGTCCAGGATGGGATCAGGGCTAAGGATGAAGATAATGCAGACAGCAAAGTGGCCTCCCAGCAAGAGGGCTCACTTGTGGGAGCATAGGGCTCTGTCAGGGCCACACTCTGCCCTTTACCAAGTGCTTGCCTATCCTGGGTGCTGAGCAGGCCTAGTCCCTCGGGGTCTCAGCTCTGCCGTCTAGTGGAGGGTTGCTGACGTGCTGTAGGCAGCCCCCAACGGCACTCTCCAGCACACAGGCTACAACTGAAGCAAAGCCTGGCCTCCCAGAGAATCACAGTCCAGTGGGGGGTAGCCAGACAGAAATGTGCCACCCAGGAAGTCCAGAAGATGCCCTGAAGTTAAACCTGGGGGCCACGGTGGTCTTCCTGGAGGAGGTGGCCCCTGGGTTGGGTTTGAAGCTGGCCCAGTAGAGGATATTCTGAGACACCCCAAGTTCCCTGAGGCCTGGGCCAGTTCCCCAGACCAAAGCTTGCTGGTTGTGTAGCAGAAGGGCACAATGTGCCCAGTCTACCCTGGCATCTCTACCCACAGGCTCCTGTTACTGCTTCAGAGCTGTGCAAGCTATTTGGAGAACCTTGACTCGGAGCAGATAATGCCCCCCGTGCGAGCGGCAGGACCCTGTATGTCCGTGGGGCTTACAGTGCGGCGCTTCTGGAACAGCCTGCTGAGGCTAGGCATGCTCTACCAGCCGCTGGCGCTCCAGGTGGGTCAGTCTACCCCACCCCCCGGCGCCTCACACCATCTGCCCCGCCTCAGCTCCGTGTGCACCACGTGTGCACTGCATCCTTGCTGCCCAAGGACAGTGTCCATTCTGGAACCTTCCAACCAGGGCACAGGTAACATAACAGCACTACAGACTTTGAGGCTGTTGTAGTCTAGGCTACCTGACCCTGGAAAATGCCTGCCTGCTCTGAACCTCACTTTGTTCATGTATTCAGTGGGACGCTTACCTCTCAGGGCACTGTTGGGTAATGCTGTCAATAGAGCTCCACTTGTTATGGGTTAACACCTAGTCTTCACACCCACCCAGCTAACAGCTGATAGTGGGGAGGAAACGGAAACTGACAGTAGCTATGGTGACATGAGAACAATAGTGAAGTAAGAACTTCATAACCAATAGCTGTGGCTGACACAGTCACCCTCCCAGCACCGAGCTTTAACTGCACAGAGCCTAGGAGGCCAACAGAGGAGGCCTGGGGCAAGCCAAGGGCCTGCGAGAAGATTCTCTCCATTACTTAGGTGTCAGATGACATCCAAGGGAATGTAAACTGGTTATCTTCTAGGCCTGTCTCGTTCACCTTCTTCCCACCTTTTTTTTTTTACCCCATCACAGAAAAAGGCAAACCAAGGAGAGAATCCTACTTCCAAGCCCACAGCCAAGGGCGAGCCAGCCAAGAGGCCTGAATTTGTGACTGCCAAGTTCATCAAGTCCCCCTCCCCAATGCCAGACTTGCCCCAGACCAGCCAAGAGCCTGGCAGCCTTCCAGTCAGCACTGCCCTACAGTGTCCAGCCCGGACCATGGAAAATACCAGGAGTGTCCACTCCCAGACAGTGGAGACGGCCCTGGTGCCCTGCGATGCATGTGTCAGTGTCCAGGGTAGCCTGCAGGAGGTCGGCAAGGTGCTCATCAGCTTGTGTCAGAGCCAGAACTTGCCCTCGTCCTTAGGCCAGTTTCATCAGCTGGTGCAGGACAGGATGGGGCTCAAGCCGCTGCCAGCTGCCACTGTGGGCCACTGGGCTAAAGAGCAGAGCAAAGACCTGACCGGCCTCACTAAGCACATGGGGGCCCTCACTCAGCTTGTTGGGTCTCTCAGGGCCCAGCTGGAGGAGGCTGAGGGCCAGAAGGCTGGCCTGAGGAAGCAGATCGGGGAGCTGGAGCAGGCAGTGGAGCGGGAGCAGAGGGAGCGGCAGCAGCAGGCGGACAAGGCCAAGCAGCACCTGACCAGATGGGAGTGTGACAAGCAGCAACTTCTCACAGGTCTGTACCCCAGAGGCACAGAGGCCTGGGCTTTGCTGCAGCCTCAGCACCGGCTCTTCCCAAAGCAGGCCCTGAGATAGGGCGGCAGGTGCAAGTCGGCTGTGGAGGAGACCCCGGCTGGGAAGCTGGCGAGGCGTACAGGGTGGCCCAGAGAGCGGCAGGCCTCAAACCAGCAGCCTCGTGGAACGAAGTCCCCCCGGGAACACTGGAATCTATATGTAGAACAAGTGAACAAGTGTCTCGGCGTTGTCCCTTCAGAGGCACAAGGGAGCGGGGTCCTGGGGACCGTGTCTCTGGGGGTGCTTGTTCCCCTCGCACCACCAGCCAAGCAGCATGGCCTCTTTCGCTTGGGGAAGCCTTTCAGCAAAGCGATGCAGCTCCGGCACCTGAAAGGGCACCCACTGAGGCTGTGCGAGCTGTGTGATGTGGGCAAGCCACGGCCCTTTCTCAGCCTCCCCGTTGCCTCCAGGGAGGACGCTGAGGCCAGGAGAGATGTAGCGACGTGGCAGCCAGCCAACAGGAAGCTGAGCCGACAGACCCCTCAGTACTCACCCTCAAGCCTGGGCTGCGCCCTCAGTGATGGTTGCCGGTGCCCTGCGGGGTGCGCTGGGCACAAAGACACTGGCCAAGCCCCAGGGAGCCTCTGAAGAGCTTCTCTCTCTCTTTGCTGCTGTAGACACAAGTGACCTCAAGATGAAGGTGGCCGCTCTGGAGGGGGAGCTGAAGCAGCAGCAGGAGTCCACGCAGGCCATGGGTGAGAAGCCCCACTGTGTGGTCCTGGTCACATGCCCTGTGCTTGGGATGAGCTTGGTTGGCACCTTTCACCACTGCCCCGGGGCTTCTGGGCTAGAGACAAAGGGAACCAGTGAGGAGAGTGGGTCTGACTGGCCCTGTTGGGTGAGGGCTGAGCTGGGTGGCGCCTTCTATTTTCAGAACCCATCTCAGGTGAGGTTCAGAGCTCCATTTTTTTTTTTAAAGATTTATTGATTTATACATGCAGAACTGGGGTACAGACTAGAAGTGTGTGGGGTGGGGGGTGAGAGGATTCACCAGAGACAGAGTGGGAAACAGAACAGGCAAATGGACTGAAACGCACTGCTGAGGGGAGCAGCGGGTGAGACAGGAGAGGTCTGCTGCGCCGTGTGGGTCACCCCCCTGGCTGGGGATTGAGCTCTTGCTGCAGTGGCTGCTTATAGCTGCTGCTACTTAACCCCTAGGGAGGCCCCATTTGTGACTGAGAATACTGTAGCTTAGAGATGAGCTGTGCCCCCTCACCCCTACCCCTCAGGTCTGAGGCAGTGCAGGGAGTGGCACCCAGGCTCCTCAGCACTGCCTCGTCCCAAACCCATTCTATCCTGCAGAGACAAAGGCCCAGCAGCTGCAGGAGGAAGCTGAGCGCAGGGCAGAGGCTGAGAGGCAGGTACAGCAGTTGGAGGAGCAGGTGCAGCTGCTGGCAGGACGGCTGGATGGGGCCGGCCAGCAGATCCTCTGGGCCAGCACAGAGCTGGACAAGGAGAAGGCCCGAGTCGATAGCATGGTCCGCCATCAGGAGGTGAGGACCCGGCCCTTGGCCTGCAGTGTAGCTGCAGGAAGAGGGCTCCACTGGTGGGTGGGGGCTGCTCTGTCTAGAGCGCTGCTCCCCGGCACATGCCAGTTTGACTCACCTGCCTGGACGGTCTGAGCCAGATGCCTTGCTCTGGAGGGGCGCCCCACCTGCAGGGAAGAGCAGTTGCATCTCCACTGCTCTCCCGCCAGATGAGTAAGGGGGTGGGGAAAATATTACAGGCGCCCACCCAGGGAGGGACAGTCACATCTGCTCGAGGGGGCCCAGAATGGCTTCTGGGAGGGGTGGCCTTTGAATTGCATGCCAGTGACTGGTGGTCAGCTAATCAGCCAGAGGAAGGACAGGGGCCCAAGATATTGCTGGGCCCTGGGCAGTGAAGCTTGCAAAGGCCCCCGGTGGGGGTGACTGCAGGAGCAGTGAGCTGTCATCTAGAGAAGGGGGCGTGTGAGGCTCTCCTGTCCGAGCTTATCCTCACAGGGCTTGATGGGGAGCCATGACCCCAGGTAGAACTCTGAGACTGAGACTGGAAAAAAACAGGAGGGGAGGCTGATAGTCAACTGCTCCAGGGGTGTGGGGTCTGAAAGCTGGGGGCTTAGCCTCAACCAGGGGTTGAGCCTGCTGCCACCTGCTACCCGCCTTTTCCTTTGCACATGTGTGTGCAGCCTCCCCTCCCCCCCACCTCCCCATGACACCGCACAAGGGAGCAGGCTTGGGTCACAGATGCTATAGCTTCCTTAGTCCCATGGGCTATGTCTAGTCCTGCCAGCCTCACGGCCTCCCTGCCTGCCCATCCCGACTCAGTCCCTGCAGGCCAAACAACGAGCCCTGCTTCAGCAGCTGGACAGCCTGGACCGGGAGAGGGAAGAGCTACAGGGCTGTCTGGACGAGGCTGAGGCCCAGCGGGCTCGTGCGGAAGAGCAGCTGCAGAGCCTGCAGAGTGAGAGGGAGCAGAGCCGGTGCCAGCTCCGGGCCCAGCAGGTGGGAGTGGGCGGGGTGAGCAGGGTGAGGGCTTGGGGCTCTCTTCCCTTGCACCCCAGGAGACCCTGCCTGCAGAGGGGCTGTGGGCCTGTCCCATGTTTAAGGGGAGGAGGGGTTGGAGGTGTCCCCCAAGGGCCCTAGGACCTGGTCCTCCGGCCAGGTCTGAGCCTTCCTCCACCCCAGGAGTTGCTGCAGAGTCTGCAGCAGGAGAAACAAGGTCTGGAGCAGGCAACGACGGATCTGCAACTGACCATCTCGGAGCTGGATCGGGAACTGGTGGAGCTGAGGGAGCGGGAGCGGCTGCTGGTGGCCTTCCCAGACCTGCACAGGCCTACTGAGGCCCAAATCCAAAGTAGGGGCCTAGGGGTGGTGTGGAGGGTGTGGGGTTGCTTAGGACAGGCAGCTGAGCACACCTGGACGCTGGGGTCTACAACCCCCCAGCCTGCAGCCAGTGTGGCAGGGTGGGGGTGGCCAGCGGCGCTGCCCTACAGCGCCCCCATGACACACAGGTGCTTCAGGTGCTACCTACTCCTCTGAGGAGACAGGACACAGGAGCCCAGAGGTGCGGTGACTACCCGGGGTTACACAGCGGGGTCCAGTGCAGGTCTGGCTACCTTGGTGGCCTGTGTGTGCCCATCGCGGTGGCGCACAGATCACACATGGGCCCAGCTCTAGGGGCACGGGCCCAGCTGTTCAGTGTCCCAGACCCGTTGCGCAGAAGAGCCGAGCAGCCACGTCAGTGAGGACTGGATGCCGGCAACGTAAGCGCTCGTCCCAGGCCTCCCAGAGCTGTGACGAAGGTGGACAGCAGTTCAGCTGTTTGGCCAAGGCAGTGCGCAGAGCCCTCTGGGCTCTCTGTTGCCATCTCGGTTACTGACCAGGCAGGCAGCAGCAGCGCCTTTAGCAAACCAGGAAACCAAGAACCCGAGTGGGCGACACCACACGGGGGTGCGGAGCCGGAAGGAGGGTGTGGGAAAGAACATCCTTGTTGAATTCTGGCAGCAAAAGGCCAGCTGTGTGACTCTGGACAATGCACTCTGAAAATGGGCAACCTTGGAAGAAAGAGAATCGCTTCCCTACCTATTTGTCAGGTCTTCAGTGAGTGCTAGGTCCCATCCAGCTCTCAAAATTCTACAATGTGGTGGTCACCTCCCTGTAGCGAGGGGATAGGAAGGGGAGGCAGTGTCCCAGGAGAAGGGGAGGGGGGCCGATGTACCGGCCCACTTGTGGGCTCGCTGGCCTGGGGCTGGCGTGCCTCTTGTCCAAGGGCCCGCTCACTGGGCGCAGGAGAAGCTGGCAGAGTGAGGTCCAGAGGCTTGTCTCCACAGGCTCTGGCAACATCACAGACGACATGGAGAGGCAGGTGCAGGCCAATGACATCCGCATCCGGGTCCTTCAGGAGGAGAATGGGCGACTCCAGTCCATGCTGACCAAAATTCGGGAGGTGGCCCAGCAGGGAGGCCTCAAGGTGAGCACCTGGATTCCCCCACCTGAAAGGGTGGTCCTTGGGGACTTGGAGGAGGCCCCAGCCCAGTAGAGAGACCTGCTGAGGGCCCACCTGATTACAATGGGGGGTCACTGGGACTCGCACCATGTGTATCTTTCGGCCTCACTGTTTACAGAAGGCTCATGAAAGGGAACAGATCCAGTGCCTTCTAGCTCCAGACACCCCCTAGCCCTTTACATCTTTATTTCCAATGCAACCAGGAGCCTTCCCACACTCACCTGCAGCTGGGATGGCCCTGGAAGACTTCTCAACCCCTCAGAATGGCCTGTGACTGGGGACTCAGAACCCAGTCTGACACTCTATGTGCAGTGGGCCCTTCTGAATTTGCCTTTCTTTGCAGCTGATCCCGCAGGACCAGCTCTGGGCCCCTTCAAGCAAGGGGACCCGGGGAACCTCCCCCCCAGCCACGTTCCCAAGGGCATCCCCAGGGTGAGTTGAAGCTTTGCCAGAGGTGGGGAAGACTGGGTTGAGCTGGTGCCCTTACTCATGGGGAATCTTGCCATCTCATCCTTCCTCAGGTCCCTGGGCAGAAGGCACCTGCCTGGCAGCAGGACAACCAGTGCGGGCAGGACCCTGCCAGGCCAATCCCGGGCATCCCCCCCTCTGCAGCCCAGCAGCCGATCTCCCAAGTCCCCCCTGGAGGACATGACCCAGTCGGCCATCTGCACCCAGAATCCCATGAGGGCCTTGGCCAGGCTGAGAAGGAGACTCTCACCGGGCCGGGGCCAGGTTGGCTCTGCACACCTGCCCCAGGAGCGGCCCCTGTAGCCTGCAGTGCGGGGGGCTGGCGGGCAGGTGGCTGGCAACCCACTGGAGGTAATAAAGCCCTGCCATCTGCCCACAGAAACCTTGGCCTCATGGTACTGGCTGAGCCCAGGGAAGAGTCCTTCCTTCTCTTTCCTGGGTAGGCGCTACTGAGTGCGCAGCCACGGGAGTCACTGGCCAGCGAGTCCTGGCACACTGCGGGCCCTCACTGCTGGACACCTCCCACCCTCCTCACTGACATGGCAGTGAGAGAAATGGGCACACCGAGGGTAAAAAGATGCTTCTGGCACTTGAATCAGGGGAAGGGAAGTCTTTCAGTCTCCTGGCAAAGACCAGGGAAGCATGGACTCTGATGCGCAGCAGAGATGAGCGGGGTCTGGGCAGGAGTGTGCAGGGGAAAGAGAGCAGCTGCCACGGTGGGCCCAGTGTGAGGCAAGGAAGGAGTGGAGCTGGGCTCCCGGCTCAGGCAGAAGAGGACAGTGATACCTTCCCCAGTCAGATGTGGAGCCCCGCCACAGCTCTCAATCTAGGGAGGAAGACATTAAGGGCTCGTGAAGGTCAGCGCTCCCTCCCGCAAGGAAGTCCTCAGCTTTAGGAATGTGAGTCGCCAAGTGCTTCTCTGAATCCGAGCTGCAGCCCGAGGGGTCACTGAAGGCAGAATGAGGCCTACCCACTAGTGTGTCACTCCCAGGCAGCTCTGGCTTTTCCAGGCCTGTCCCTCCGGGTCCACCCAGCGCAGGATGCTGCCAGGCACACCAGGCCCTTAGCAGTCACTTTCCTCACGAAGCATCGTGTCACCTCACTGAAGCCAGGCTCTGAGGCTTGCTGAGCACTTCTTCCAGGTTGGCACTCCAGCTTTCCATGCCACTCCCTCCCGGTGAAGCCTCCGTTTAGAGAGAAGGTCAGGAGGGAACTAGCTGAGGTGGCATCGCCAGGGTCGGGCCCACTCTGTCCTCTCTGGAGCCCAGGGGTTCCTGAGGGAGTAAGAGGCAGCCTTCAGAGGGGGGAAGCCTGCGCCCACGTAGAGGGGGCTCAGCTCCTCTCTGCCTTCGTTAGCTCATAGTTGCGCAGGTCAGAGTGCAGGCCTGGGATTCGGTTCCCGCTCAGGGTCTTAGCAGGCTGAAATCAAAGTGCCTGCCAGGTTGCACTCCCTTCTGATGTCTCGGGAGGAGCGGCCTGTAAGCTCACTGCTTGCTGGCGGAATTCTGATTCTTGGAGCGGTCCGAGTGAGGCCCTGCCGACTACTGTCAGCCAGGGCTGCCCTGAGCTCACCTTCCTAGTGTGTGGCTTCCGAGCTCCAGGTCAGAGAGAACTGCATTGAATTCCCTTCGGATTTCCTCAGATTGCCTCTTCTTCCACTCATCAGGGAAAATGCTGCTTGCAACTGGCTCCCCTGATTAGGGCAGGCCCACCTGTGAGGCTCCCCCGGCCCTGGGGGCAACTGTTTGCCACGTAACATCACCTCACCATGTAAAAGCCATTGGAGGCACCGTCCAGGGTTACGTGAGGCACATTCACAGGGGCAGAGGGAGACCTCAGGGCCGTTGTAGAACCCACCACCCACCAGCAGTATAGCCCAAGCCAACTTGTTCATCTTAACACATCTACACGAATGTCAGGTCTTATGTAAAATATATTCATGTTTATTTCATATTAAACCTCCCCATCCCAAGTCTAAAAAACGATGCCCCTGGAAGATGCACCACATGACTTGTGGCTTCAAGTATCCTGGTCAGCAACCTGCAGCCCTCCCGAGAACCATGGGACTGGGTGGTCTCTAAGGCCCTGGTCCCAGCCCGACCCAGGGACACAGGCAGTGGGGCCCGTGACTCCCAGTGCCCAAGGTCTGAGGGCAGCAGACTAGGCAGGGGTCTCTGGGTTGAATACTGTCTTCACCCCCATGACCAGGCTGCCCCTCCCCCCTACCCACCCCCCGAATAAATAAGCACAAAACCCAACCACTGCAGCCTCAGCCCCAGGGGTGCCCAGATAGGCGGGCCACAGAGCTCCCAGAGACCTGGCAACAAGTGCACTGCCTCACTCCCTCTCCACCAGGTCCCCGCCCAGGGCTCTGGAATGCCTGTGAGGAGCACACACAGACACCCCAGGGCTGCAGAAGAGTCCCAAGGTGACCTCTCTTCTGTGACTGGCAGGTCTGGGCCCAGCATCCTGGCCTGGAGGCGGTGGCTCCTTCCCGGTGCGGATGGGGTGGGGCAGCACGCCCCTCGGCCGGCAGGCCCCTCTTCACCCTCCCATCCGCTGAGCACTGTCCACTCCATGGTCCTGTTTCAGGAGCCCAGGCCAGGGTGCGGACGGGAGGGGCCCATTCCCACATGCAGACACCCAGGCGGGGCAGCTAATCATCTGAGTAACGGTTCCCTGAAGGGGAGGGAAAATAAGAACAGGAGAGTGAGGCGGGGATCCCGCAGAGCCAGCCAAGGGCCCCCTACTTGGTGCTTACCTAGCACATTGAATTTGCACAGCGGGCAGGTCTGCTGGAGAATGAGCCAGGGGTCCACACAGTCTCGGTGAAATTCATGCTTACAGGGCAGCACCCGGAGCCACTGGGGGTGGGGGCAAGGGCTAGGCCACAACCAGGCCTCCAGGTGGGCATGCCTGGCCCTGTGCCCTCATCTGAGCTGGGGAACTGAAACCTTTAAGCCTGTCCCCCACCCCCCAGTTCTGCTTTCCACAGCTCTCGTGAGTCTGAGAGAAGGACCTGACGGGCAGGTTCCCAGGCTTTAGGAGTAGGGTAGGTAACCTCACAGGCCAGCTGACCACCAGCCTCTGCCCAGGACACTAACCTGCTTGTGGCAGAAATAGTCCAGACACACGGCGCAGGTCTCGGCGCCAGGCTCCGGGGGGCCTTGGGCTGCCCTGCCCAGACGGCAGCGCCGGGTCTTCAGGGACGCCAGGCGCTGCACCACGCGGCGCTTGAGCAGATCCACCTGTGGGGGGTGGGGCAAGCACAGTTGGGCAGGCCCAGGGGCTGGGGGCGGGGGGGGTGGGGGGGGCAGCTTGCGCTAGCTCCCACCTGGCTTCCTGGCTCTCGCTGGCTCTGCCTTGATGCCTGCCGCTGGGCCTGGACCACGAGGCCTGTGCACAGGAGCATGGCCACTAGCAGGATGGCGTTCCACAGCTGTTGCAGGGGCTTCTGGGGAGAAGAGCGCGGGTGCCAGGGCTGCCCCGCCCTCTGGCCCAGTAAGTCCTTCCCCCCCACACCACACCCCCACACCCCCCACCCGACCACGCAGGTGAGGCCCATCAACATCCAGGTCCCTACAGGCTTCTGGATTCTTCTGGGTGCTCCCAAGGCCACCCAGCTGCCTCCATGCCCCCTGCGCAGTGAGGTGAGCGCATCTGTCTCCCACCCAGTCCACTCGAGGCAACAAACCCACTGTTTCTGCACCCGTGGAAGTTTCCATCAGCGTTTCCATCATGCCAACTCCCAGCCCAGGACCCTGGTACCTTCCCACGCCCTCCCCTAATCCACGCTTCCCCCAGTCTGCTTCTCAGCCCCATCCACCTGCTGGCTTCCAGGCTGAACACCCACAAGCCTCGCAGGGGCCCAGGCCCTGCTGCCTCACCCCCCAGGAGGCAGAGCACACTCGCCCGCCACCCCACCCCGCCCGCCACCCCAGGACTCTCAACTGCTAACTTGGTCATGCTGCACCCCTGCTCGCCACCCTTCTCCGCAGTACACCCCCACCCCCATTTCCCACCTCCGTAGAAGACCCGGACCCCTCTGCCTGTCCACCGGGGGCTTTCCAGCCCCCCTCGCTCTCCGCATACTCCTCGCTTCCTCAGCCCCCCTCGCTTTCCACTCTTCCCCAAATGGGAAGCTCTGCCATTCCTCCAGTCCCCCTGACTGAGGCCCTCGGGTTTCCTGGGGGACCACACTGATCCCGACTAACTCCACCACATGCACAGCAGCGAGGCTCTGACTACTCAGCGGCTCAGGCACAGCGAGACAGCAGGCTCCCCCCGCACACCTCCTCTCAGGCCTGCGTGTGTCATGACCGGTAAACACACCCCAGTCAGTGTGTCAAGCTCTGGTAGTTTTCTGCCCTGTTCTGCAGTCTCTGCTGCAGCTTAATTACCATGTGTGGGGGGAGGGAGAGGGGCTGAGAAATGACTGGCAGGTCAGAGGGGCTAATGCCACAGAGGTTGCTCTTCTCAGATAAAGACACCCCCAGGGACATTACCAACAGGTGTCTGTGAGGCCCAGTCCTCCACCCCACCCCACCCTTTCCCCTGGCCTCGTGCCTCTGTCTCCCCTCCCGTGTGGTGGCACCAGGAAGCTCTCTCCGTGTCCCCTAGGCTCGGCTCAGTGCCTTCACTCTGCCCCCCAGAGCAGCCCCATGCCCACCACCAGCTCAGTGCTCTCCCCCCAATCGGACAGCTTCTCTGGCAGCTCTCCCCAGGTATGGCCCCATGTGCCCAGGGCTGAGCCAGGCCGTGAGGAGCCCAGCAAGTGCTGGGGTGGAGGGTGTGGCTCAGTGCACGTTTGGGACCTCCAGGTGAGGAGGGAGAGCAAGGTCAGGGCCTGTCCATCAGATCAGGGTAAAATCTGCTGGACGGAGCTGCAGCACTGGACTCCCAGAGGCTGGGGCTTGGTAACTGGCCTGGGTCAAGGTTGAGAGCCTGCCTCAGCCCCTCTCCGCTACCATGGCCACCCGACACTTGTTAGGTCCACCCGGCCGGCAGTATGGCTGTTCAGCTTTGCCTTCTGTACCCATCAGGCTGACCTGCAGGTTTTCAGGTGCCTACCTCAGGCCTCCTGGGGCTTCTCCCCTCCTGATCCCTCCTAGCTCTAGTCTTTCTGCTGACACTTCCTCCCAGTCTCTCATCTGACACCCCCTTACCAAATGCCAGCAACCCGCAGAGGTCTGTGAGGGCTGCCCTCCAGAAGGAGGTACAGTGGGGCTCCCTTCTCTTCCAGAAAGATCCCTGCACCCAGCCCTCAGTGCTTGCCCCCCCACAGAGCTGCAGTTCGGGCTGCTCAAACAGGAGTTCACGTGTTTTGTTTGGGCCGACCTGCCAAGGTCTTCCCTGCTTGCCTTTGAGCCCTTCAAGGGCAGGCCCAGAGTCTTACGGGCCTTTTGTACACGCCACTGTCCTTCTCACCAAGTCCCAAGTGTCTTATGAGCTCCAAAGTTATTTGGTACGCACTGACTTATTCAGCCATTGATTTAGTCAACCACTCATAACAGTAAAGATAGTACCAGCAACCGCCCATTTGTTCAGAGCCCACCACAGACAAGTCGCCAACAGCCCCGTGACCATGTCCATCCTGGTCACAAGCGAGGAACATGACACCAAACACTCAGATGGAAATCACTGAGCTGGGGTTTCAGAGCCAGAGCCGAACCCGAGGCCGCCTGGCTTAAAGTGCACTGCGTGGCCCACGTCTGCCAACACTTGCTAGAGGCTGCACGGGAGGGGCCAGACGTGCCCCCTCCAGAGCAGGGACTGGAGAAATGCTAGCGGACACAGAATACACTGGAATCCTCTTAATGTTGAGCATGATAAATCCAGAGACTGGCAGACACAGCCCTGGCCTTCAGGAGACAGCCACGCACCCCAACACTTACACAGGGTGGGCTGTCGCAAGAGCCTGCTGAAGAGCCTGACCCTGTTGGGACAGAGCGGGAGAAGGGGACTGTGTGCTGAGGCTGTGAGGAAGGCTTCAAAGAAGGCGGGAATGATGAGTTGCGAGGGCTCAGCAAGATGGGGACGCAGACAGAGAAGAGGGTGTTCACGCTTGAAGCCAGGCCTGGACCGGGCCTAGTAGCAGGGGCCTAGGGCCGTGTGGAGGCAAGTAAATGACACGGGGTGCTGGAGTGTCAGCAGAACAAAAAGTGACCGGGAGAGCTGTGCGAGGCAGGCTCCAGGGCTGAACTCCATTCCGCAGCCGAAGAAGGCTTCCGGGCCGAATGGCGTGACGGCAGCTAACATGCTGCCAGCGAGCCGGCGGGAGCACTGCGAGGTTCCCACTCCGGGAGGTGGGAGAGGCTGCGCCCGGCCACCACGGCTGAGACCGCAGCATTTGGGGAGTGGCACGTGGGACCCCCGAGGCTCCTCTCTCCAGGTACCCACCTGCTCCTGGGCACGACTGCCTCCCAGGCACACCAAGTCCTGCCACCCTCCATAGCCGTCCTTGGAGAGGCTGCAGGTGGTCCACAGGGTCAGCTTCCACTCGATGTTGGCGGACAGGGACTCTCCACTGGTGATCTCAGCTGTGGCCTGGGTCCTCCTGGGAGGAAAAGCCAGAGGGGCAGGTGGAAGAGCTCGTGGAAGGGGAGGCCCAGGCGCATTCACCCCCAGCCCTGTGGGAAGAGTACCCCAGAGGATCACTCTGAAGCCCTTCCCCAAGTTCCTTGGGGCAAGGCCCGCCTCCCACAGCTTTTCCTGGCTTGCTTCTTAGCTCTCATACCAGCCAGGTTGGGAACCCACAAGTCCAGAGAAAAGTGTGTCAGTCAGGAATCTGGGTTTTCCTCTGTCCACAGCGTCTCGTCTTCAACTGCAGGTCCGAGCACTCCTTCCCATCCTCTCACCCATCTTTCTGACCCAAGCTCCCCAACCCAGTCCTTTGGAGCCCCAAACCCAACTCACTGCAGCAGGGCCTCCAACAGCTTGGTGACATTGGAAGAGTAATGGAGGACGATCACCGGCCTGAACAGAAGCTGGGATATGTCTAGCTGTGGGGCGACAGGAGGGTCAGCTGGCCTTGGTCCCTGTGCCCCGGCCTGCACACCCACACAGCCTCTTCCGGTTTACCTCTCGGACCACATTATGGTTCAGGATGAAGAGAAGCAGCGCAGAGGCTCCCAGGAAGAGCGCCCTCCGCATCTGCAGGACAGAGGATGGCGCTAGTACCCTGCACATCCGCCTGCGTCCTAATCCCCCACCTGGGGGGGGCCAGGGTAGGTCTGAGCTCTCACTCTGCCATGGGCATCTGCCCTGGAAAGACTGGCTTAAGCTCCTGAGGTCAAGGGCAGAACTCTTATTCCTCCCCCTAGATACTCTGTGGGGCCGAAAAAGTGATGGGTCTCCCCTGGTCCTAGCAGGGCAGATCCCCCACGAACCAGCAGGTACTGTCAGCCTGATGGATCTTTCTGACTCCTCCTGGCTTCCCCACTTCTCTGCTTCTATGCCATACTAACTCTCTCAAGTGGGGCCCCTCTCCCAGCCCAGGCCCAGGGTTTCCCTTGGGGGCCCATCTCTCAGTCTGCAGATACCTCGGGACCCTTCCTCCAATCCCTTCCCCCACACACAACACCCGCTGCACCTGCTGGATCAGGGCCTTGGGATAGGCCTGCAGGCCGCTGCCCTGACTCTCCTGGTGGAACTGGGCCGCCTGCTCCTTGCCCACGTATGCCACTGCAATCCAGCCTTCTACGGGCACCTCCTGCTCAGCATCCACGATGTCCATCTGCGGGTGGAGGGGTCATGGGGAGGCGGGAGAGAGAGGCACGTAGAAGCAAGACCAGGGTCTGGCAGGCAGTGTGGAAGGAAGGGCATCTAGATCGCGGGTCTTGGAAGCTGGAATGCTGGGCAGCCTCGAAAGGGGTCCATGGGCTGCCAGAGCCAGGTCCAAGACAAGGGTCGGACCTGCGGGAGGAGGGGCTCTGGAGGGGGCAGGGGCGTACGGCTCGGTGGCGCTCACCAGCAGCAGGCGGCCGCCCAGCTGGGGCGCCGGGTCGGCCTCGGGGCCGATCCTGACTCCCTCCAGGACCAGAGCGTCCTGCCGCGGCAACCTC